AGCTTAGAATCAACCCCAAGACAATAAACATCCCTGTGGTCTTCCACAACTTGAGAGGGTACGACTCTCACTTGATCATGCAGGCCATCGCGAAGGTCGACGGCAACCTGACGTGCATCCCCAACCACATGGAGAGATACATCTCCTTCAGCTTGAATGTTCTGAGGTTCATCGACTCGGTTCAGTTCCTCCTGTCGTCACTCGACAGTCTGGTCAAGGCCAACGATACCTTCCCCATCACTGATCGATACACCGACGCTGAGACTAGACCCCTGCTGATGAGGAAGGGCGTGTACCCCTACGAGTACATGGATGGCTGGGCCAAGTTCGCTGAGACCTGACTACCCCCCATCAACCGATTTTACAGCAACCTGACCGACTCGACAATCACCCAAGACGATTACTCGCACGCGATTAACGTAAGGAATAAACTGGGCTGTAAGAATCTGGGTGACTACCACGACCTGTACTTGAGAACAGACGTACTCCTGCTAGCCGACGTGTTCGAGACGTTTAGGAGGACATGTTTTAAACAGTATCAACTCGACCCCGCATGGTACTACACCAGCCCAGGTCTATCTTGGGATGCCTTGCTGAAGAAAAGTTAAGTTGGAATTGCTCACCGATTACGACATGCACCTGTTCATTGAGAAAGGCTTGCGGGTGGGATTTCCATGGCCTCTAAACGCCACGCAAAGCCAATAATCAATACGTGAAGGGCTACGACTCAAGCAAGCCAAACACTCACATCCTCTACCTCGATGCCAACAACCTGTACGGTTGGCCCATGAGCCAGTATCTACCCACAGGGGGATTCGAATGGGTATCACCCGAGATCGATGTTATGAGCATCGCGCCGGATTTGAACAAAGGCTATATCCTCGAAGTGGACTTGGAATACCCCAAGGCATTGCACACATCGCACAACAGCTACCCCCTGGCCCCTGAACGTTTGAGGGTAAACCCAGACTGGATGTCCGAGTACCAACATAACTTGCTGGGTGGGCGGGTGGCAGACGCTGAAAAACTCGTGCCCAACTTAATGAATAAGACCAAGTACATCGTTCACTATCGCAACCTACAGCTGTACCTGTCGCTGGGTATGAGGCTGACCAAAATACACAGGGTGCTCGTGGTTCGACCAGAGCCCCTGGATGGAGCCCTACATCAGAATGAACACGGACTCCGCGAAAGCTGGCCACCAGTGACTTTGAGAAAAACCTCTACAAGCTCATGAACAACTCGGTGTTCAGTAAGACAATGGAGAACCTGAGGAAACGCGTGACCGTGAAGCTGGTTCGGTCAAAGAGGAAGACAAGCTCAGGAAACTGATAGCCAGCCCGGCATTCAACCGGAGCAAGATATTCACCGACGACCTGGTGGCCCTACACATGAAGAAAAGCCACATCAAATTCAACCAGCCTGTTTACGTGGGGATGAGCATCCTCGATTTATCCAAACACCTGATGTACGACTTTTACTACAACGAACTGAAGAAACAGTACGGCACCAGGTGCGAAGTGTTGTACACGGACACAGACTCCCTGCTGATGGAATTCGAACCGAGGACGTGTACGAGGACATGAAGAAACGCCTCAATTTGTATGACACCAGCGACTACCCCAAGGACCATGCCATACACAGCAAGGTAAATAAAAAGGTCCTCGGTAAGATGAAGGACGAGTGTGCTGGCACGCCCATAGCTGAGTACATAGGCTTGAGGCCCAAGATGTACTCCATCCTGAAGGCCGACAATGGGGAGATCCGGAAGGCGAAGGGTGTTAAGATGTACGTGGTGAAACAACACATCAAACACGCCAGATTCAAGGAAGCCCTGTTCAAGACGCGCACCTTCAGGCATCAAATGAACACGCTTAGAAGCGACGGGCACAGGATATACGGACTGACGATAAACAAGACGTCCCTATCACCGATGGACACGAAGCGTTGGATAGCCATCGACGGGATCAACACGTACGCGTACGGGCATGAGAAAATTGAACCAAGAACATAGGTGTATATATATACACGATACCCTGTCGGGGCGACAACGATGTCATGTAACCAAAGAAAGTTTGAGGCTATTTACTACAGCCCGCGTGGGTACTCGAAAGGAGCTAGCTCCTTACATAAGATAGCCAAAATGGCGCGAGTACCCCCGGGTGAGGCCAAAGCGTGGCTTGAAAAACAAGCCCTGTGGCAGATCTATTTACCGGCACCACGCTACGTGCCCCGAAGAAAGTTCGGCATTAACATACCCAATAGTGTCCACCAGGCCGACCTCCTGTTCCTACCCCACGACAAGAGGTACAAGTATGCCCTAACCGTCGTGGACGTGGCCAGCCGCTACAAAGAAGCCGAACCCTTAACCAAGAAAGACTCGGCCCAGGTAGCCCGTGGATTCGAACGCATGTACAAACGCAGTCCACTGACGTGGCCCACAGAGCTGCAAGTCGACCCCGGGCGGGGTGCCGTGTCACAACTGCTAGACAAACACGATACCAAGGTCAGGCGTGTCGCTGCCGGGGCTCATCGCAGTCAAGCCATAGTTGAGAGATGCAATAGGACTTTGGCCGAACGCTTATTTGGGCATCAGTATGCGAGAGAGATGGTCAACCCAGGAAAACAATCGACGGAATGGGTGGCGCGGCTACCTCAGGTGGTGTCGGCTATCAACCACGAAACCACCCGTCTCACCGGCAAGAAACCAGCTGACGCTATCAAACTGAAATCAGTGATAGCAGAACCGGCTGCACCATCGCGTGGGAAGGAGAAACAGATACCCGATAGGGCCCTCGTGAGGTACCTCTACCAGCTGGGGGAACACGAAGGGGACACTCGGAAACGAGCCACCAATCCGATATGGTCAGTCAAAACTTACAACCTAGATAAAGTGGACATCAAAGCCGACGAGCCAAACTTGTACTACTTTAGAGATGGGCCAGGGAGAGGTTTCATCAGAGTGGAATTATTAGTAATACCGTACGGCACAATATTACCCCCCAAGCAAAATATTTAACACTTACTGTTGAGTAATCCCAATAGTATCCTATAACCAGCTCATTCACATTAAACTGTTTCCTCGAGGTCAACACGACATAGTGTCACATGATCTGGAAAGTGCTAGTTCGCGGTCCCAGCTTTGAATGATGCAATCTCAGGATAGACCTGTTAAACTGAGATTATTCAGCTAAGTCCCCGGTAGCTCAATTGGTTGAGTGGTGCGGCTCATTATGTATAGTTTGCGCGAGCTATACATGTGGGTTCGTATCCCGCCGTTGCCTCAGTGGAGATTCCTTGCAACTTTGTGTGATGTGAGGTGTTTCGGTAAGGAATCAGGATCATATCAGTTGGGTCGCTGAAAAGGGCTTAGCTGAGCGGGGCACTCTCATGGCGAGAGAAAGGCAGCCGATGCAATTCCCCTTGGGAGAAGCGCAACATCATCTTTCAATTTCACCCTTGGGGAATTGTGGCTGCCGGGGACATTTTATTACTTTTAGAATTGTGGCTGCGGGGACATTTTATTACTTTTTAGAACCTTTCTATCTTTCTATAGGTATATTCGCGGTCATAGTGGCCCAATAGTGTCACGTGTGGCCGGGGGAGTTAACTGGGGATTCAAAAGTAGTCTATACAATGGGGGCGAGATCTAAGGGCCTGACAAAAGCTTTATTTGTGAAATAAAGCTTTACAGAAGCTTTTGTTGGACTTGATCTCGGACAATCATTCTATATACTACTGAGACTGTGACTTGGCTGATTCAGTGTTATCCTGCCCCTCAGGTATGGAGGCTTGTATCTGTGCTTGCCTGGTCCAGACTATTTCCAGGCCACACTAATTAAGGTTGTAATATTGAGGGTACCAACCTCACTAAGTCTAGGCTTTCGTCACACCACACAGTTTGTCTTGGTGTCCAATTCAACAACTCCGGAGTCTTGTCAGTGTACACAGCAGAACAAGTAAATTAGACTTTCATACATACTTAAGATTTTCATATAAAATGTGTGATCATGTGTGCTCATGAGCTTAATACAAGATATTTTATTGATTTGATACACTTTGTACGAAAGAAAAGATATGTTTCATCACTGAAGTTTTGGCATGTGGAGATCAGATGAGCATTTCCTGTCATCCAGCCATGCAGTATACCAGTTGACAAGGCCTGACATCCAGCATATTGCCTACTGCAGTATCAAATAACATTTGATCACTCACTCATTGGTAATTAAACAATTGGAGCTTAAACCTTTCAACTGTAGCAAATTATCAGATAATTGTGAAACAAATGTATCTTCTGTTGAATATCCATCACAAAGTGTGACTATCCTTACCCAGATAATAGAAAGTGCATTTATAATGCGCTAAACTCCATTACCTAGGTGAAAGGTCATAGCGCTAACAATCAAACCACAGCACATTATTATCCAAGATAACCGACGCTGCCTGTGAGGTGCAAGAAGGTTAATAGTCACATGACCTGTGAAGATCCGGGTTAGAATTGATCTTCAGTAACCCATGTTTGTCGTAGGTGACTATCGTGATCGGGTGGTCCGACTTGCTGACTTAGTTGACACATGTCTTTGTATCGATGCTCATGCTGGTGATCCCTGGATTTATTTACAGACCGCCGCCCCCTATAGCTGGCATATTGCTGAGTGTGGCGTTAAACTAAACTCACTCACCTAATAGTCATATGACTTATCCCATGACTCATCACCGGGTACCCATTTTCTGCTGGGTGAACAGAGGCAATTTTGAACAAACTGACTTGCCTATGGTGAGACAACATGTATGACATGTGCTTCGTTGTGGGGCAGGACTGAAGTCGAAGAAAGCCTCAGGAGTCAAGCTGCCAAATACGTTGCTTAACATAACCTGATTGTACCTGAACTCTATGCACAGAACCACACCAGCACATGTAACTGACTGTTTCTCCTGGTCTGCCACTGGTTTGCCTCGCTAGACTGGATTAGTGCACCTCCAGAGAATAAAACAGACAATTTTAATGTTGAAAGATATTATATTGTTTAGCTTGAGACCGTCAAGCCATAATATGTGACATAAGGTAGAATAACATCTACAGCAAAAGTACAATCCAACATGGTGGTACAAGCAAAGAGGAAAATATAATCATAAATAAACAAACTTGGAGCATTCTTTCATTCCTTGACTAGATATACATGTAAGATCTACTAAAGAAATACTAGTCTACAGTGTTTGGGGGTAAACAGTGGTGTTATCCATCCACACTTCACATACTATACTCACTATTTCAGTGTTGAATCATAACATGAATTTGTATTGAAGTGACAGTTTTATGAACTGTGTTTGTCAAACATGTAGAACTGCACCCATGAACACCTGGTTAAAGAATCAATTTGATATCTACATTTTTTCCAAAGCTCCACATTAGCAAGATCTTCCTAAGGTTTTAGGGACTGGTCATTTATTATAAGGGGGTGCGGGGGTCAGTGAGATTAGTCTATCACATTTTGATTACCTTCCCCTAAGTTTTTGTAACAAACCCAATGGTTGCGATAAATATCATTGACACTATTCACAGTGTCATTTTGTTCATAACCCCTTATATATATGACTGACTGAGTTTAGTTTTTAAGCCGATTTTAGCAATATTCCAGCAATATCACAGCGGGGACACCAGAAATGGGCTTAACACATTGTGCCCATGTGGGGAATCGAACCCGTGTCTTCGGCGTGACGAGCCAACACTTTAACCACTAGGCTACCCCACTGCCCCCTTTATATATATGAGCAGTCCCTTAGTGAAGTATAGAAAGCATACACTATCATGATATCACCCCATGCATGCAGTATTAGTTCTGTATGACCATGATAACAGTCTGAGACTTCTCTCCAAGATCTGACAAACCCTCCACAGGACGTGACCGGTCGAACACTGAGTAAACCTGGATACCCAACCAGAGATAGCATTCTAAAACAATTCAGCTGAAATACATTCGTAATTTTGTCAACACAATGAGTTCCTTTCATTGTTATATGTATGACTTCAGACTCATGTGCAGACATACTGATGTTATGTTAAAATAACCTCGATAAATATCCCTGTGTTTTCGCTTTTTGTTGATCGTTTAGGTTTAGTGTTCATCAATGATGGAGTGTAGCATATCATTAGTTTGTCCTCATTCAGAACTGTAAGTTTACATTCCTATGTCATGGAGATGACACAACTTTATGGATGATCAACTTCTTTGTTTTAACAATACCGACGTTTCGGTATAGGTTCTTATACCGTTTTCAAGCATGAGAATAAGGTATAAGAACCTATACTGATACGTCGCTATTGTTAAAATACAGAAGTTGATCATCCATAAAGTTGTGTCATCTCTATACCAGCAACTTCTAGAATGCCACTCAAACAAATCCTTTGTCATGATTCAGAAAAGCAAAATATGTTACCGGTACTCTAAATTGTTCACTTGCTTAGAAAACCTAGAAAATTTCACCTTTTGAGACTTCCTGTGGAAGGATAAAGGTACTGCATTTGAAGAAGACATCAAAGTTTAATGAGGTGGGTATAACTTAAAAGTTTCATCATTTTCTACGTGTTTACAGTGTTCGAATTAGCTGCCAGTAGATTATCCATAGACCACTAATCTCTCCATTTTCTTTACTCCAGCTGTCAATATGGTAACATGCATCAAAATATTTATATAATGTAAATATAACATTGTGAACCTATCTCAATCTAAAGCAAAGAGCCACACTGTAAAGAGAATTCATCAAATTAAAAAATATCAGCAAGAGATAAGCATACAAGTGTTCAGACTTTACTGTGCTGTAATACTGTTAGAGAGGTTCCACCTCAACAGTAACTATGGCAACACACTAAAGCTATTTCGAACACTGTAATGGGCAATATACCACACTACTTTTCTCACTACATACAGCTGAGATAATGATAACTACAACTAAGTCCAGTATAATACCATACATATTTATGAAATTCTGTAGAGAAAGCCATTACATGACAATTTTAACAGTTACTCAGTCATACCAACTGAAATGCTATGAAGTTGATACTTCCAGTCACTCGCCTCTAGCAACATGTCACAGCTACTTCTCATGATACAAACATCTCTATCTTCCATTTACCTATTGAATACATATTCACAACTGACATGACAGCATCCGTCCATCCACTATGTCACACACTGACATCCTGTTCCTCTATGAATGATCTGTGATGAAAAAAATCAACTTTTAAACCGCCAAATAAAACAAGTACCAAGGGGCAAAAAAGAAAGCAGTGTTGTATGAAAGGCTGCCTGTCAAGCTGTGCTCGTAGATTACTTCTAACAAGGGACCAGCCTTCAAATTCACAAGAGTCCTGTATGTAAACACTACTTCATTGTGTTGAGAACAAGTATAAACCCAGTGATGGTAGTCATCATGGTCTAGTACCATTTGATTGCTCTTATTCCAAAATAGCTCACAACACTTCCACATTGTTACAAATAGGAACTGAATAATGTAAACATACTGAACATTATTTTAAAGCAGGACTGGGAACTGAGTCTTTAAGGAATGGAGAAATACAGTTATCCCTAATTCTCGGGATTAGTTTTAAATAGATCTGAATTTCAAAGGCAGGAATGGGTGAGGTTTAGTTTGTATGGACTTCCCAAAAAAACATGAAACAAATGTGTGCAAGTCTGCACTGATGTCACAACTCTAGCAACAAGTATCACATAGCGATGAAGCTTACACTTCATACTGCTTTACAAATATGGTTATTATTCATATTCAAGGTATTCATAAATATTAAATACATGTATCGCATATTGAAAGAACTTCATATGTGCACCGATATACATGTTAGGATAAGTGACAGTTATTGTTATGATTACAACTTGGTACAAAGCAAGAGAGAATGAGGGAATGAGTGAGAATGGTTTTGACAATATTCCAGCAATATCACCAGAAAATTGGCTTCATACATTGTATCCAAGTGGGCAATCAAACCTCGGTCTTTGGTGTAACATGTGAACACTTCAACTACTAGGCTACCGCCTGTCAGTAATTAGGAACTATCACATTGTTAATATTGCCAGTAAAAAGAAAGCAACTGAACTATATACTGAACATATAACAGTATTTTGAAATTAGTAGTATTGGTAATGCAAACAAATTCCCAAAAGTCTTCTCAAGAACAAATACCAGTGGGTGAAATAATCTCAAAATATTGCTGGCCAGGTGGTCTATTACAAGGTTCACTAGCCTAAATATGTCAGCATACTTAACCAGAAGTCTGATTCTTCCTTGGTATGAAGCAAACATAAATCTTAACATGGGTTATCATTTCTAAGGACATACAACTTCTTTGTTATAAACTAGGCAACGTTTGGGTGTACAGTGTGATGCTTGATAATGGTGTAAGTATCTACATCGAAATGTTACATATATTGTAATAAAGAAGTTGTATATCCTCAGAACTATAGCCCTTGTTAGCAAACCAACTTCTAAATGCTACTCACAGAAGTTGTAAATCTCAGTTGCCAGTCTGGCTAGGACCATTTCAGAATCTTCAGCCTGACTGCAAGTTGTACAGCAAAGTGCTATCAGGCAGGTGACTATTTCACACACTGACATATACACGTCTTCGCATGCTAACATTAACATGTTCTCTACACTCTACTGCTCCATCAAGGGGTACTGCTGCTGAGTCATCCAACACAGTGAATCAAGTCTCTTTTGCAAACCCAAATAAAATCGTCCCATTCTAATTCCTAGACAATGGTCAATTTCCTTCTGAATTTTTTTTGGAAAATAAATACTAAACACTGTTAAACAAAGGTATCATATCTGCCTAATCAACCCTCCCTGGATCATAGAAAATAAACTAATGGGTGGGGAGGAGGGGAGGTTCTTATTGAAAGCTTAAAAAGAATTTTTGTCAGTGATTGAGCAGTAGAGAACAAATATTGATGAAACTAAAACCTTTCTAATACTTCAGATTTTATCATATTCCCTGTGTACATTGCTGTTTCTGTAAGAAATGATTAACATATGGGCGGTCATGTGTTATGTCTTAGTTTTAAGTTTGGACTGGTTACAAGGACCATAGTAACAAACTGGTCTTCGAGTTGGTCAGGGGGCATTCACTGGAGCACAGCGCTAAATATAGCTAATACAGTATTCATCAAACTGCCACCTCCTTCTCTTTGACTGGGCTGTGGTGCAAGCCCGGACACATGAGAGGCACGAGAAGACAAGCAACACTAGCTATTGAGCTCATGGAATGACTTTGTCCGTGTGACGCGAGACACATGGGCATCATAGAGAATATTGTTGACCCGGAAGTAGTGTGGGTTCTCTCCCTCTTTCAGTTCCGGATCATAACCTGCGATGTCCTCCATGTTGATTGGACACTGATCACAAACTGCAGCAACATTATCAGGACTGTTTAACATATCATTATTGTTCGTTCTTGCCTCCTCTGGATTCAGCGATGACTGTGTTTGATGGTTGGCAACTGAACACCCAGGAATGGACAACTGGTTCTGATTGGCTCCAGGACCACAGACCAGACTTTGATTGACTAGTTGAGCTTGTTGCCAAGGCAACAGATGAGGATCACAGTTTGCAGAGGAAGTTCCTTCTCCAGTGAAGCCCTGAACATGTACAAGAAATACCTTTTCTTCAAAACAGATCATCTTTAATATGCATAACACTTCAACAATGTTTTCCAGTCTTTTGGTCGTCACAAACGTAACACCAAATGGTAATAAACTTTAATCTATGGAAGAAAGTACATCTGAACTTCAAAAATACACCTCTGAAGTATTTCTTTAAGTCTTCATAACTGCATGATATATTTTACTGCTACAAATTTCATGGCCATCTAAAGAATACGAGAAGATAATTCCTAAAGTAAATAAAAAAGACTCACAGTGGATTTTGAACTTTTTAACAAGATGTTTCCATAACACAATATTACTTCATCAAAGTATCTAAGTAACTATGTCCAAAACTTCCCCCTAAATCAACTATTTTCACCAACCTGAGATGCATCTCTTTTAACCAATCCTTCCTCCTGACTTCTTCTGGCCGATCTGAAAACAGACATCACCATGATAAATCTTACCGTTATCATCATTTGTTTGTTACTGCTCCTTTTTTCATGATCCTGATGACCCAGATATGATACTCTTCATTCATTTATTGCAGAACACTACATTAGCCCTTAGTTATCACCAATACACACTTCACTGGCCTTACACTTAAAGTTAAGGTAACAAGTACTCACTCAATATGGAGTTTGTTGATGCGTTTTGATATTGGAAGACAGTCATCGCAGTCTTCTTCCAAGTCACTGCGAGGACGTTTTCGACAAACACTGAAGTGGAAAGTGACACAGTGTTTATTAGTTGTAACATAACAATGTGGAAACAAAGGGCTGGTGTAAATAAAAGTTGCAATTCAGGTTGATAACACATAATGAAATGTATGACATGAAAGATGCATTATAATTTGCTGCAGAATCAGTTGTACACAACAAAGTGTAATCGGGGATCCTGGAGAGATGATAGATCAAAATATTAAACATACACACACATAACTGAATTTGCCCATAGTGCCCGACATTGAGTCCCTTGCCAAAACCAAAGAGGCTGAATCTGTCCATCCTTTTTCATCATATTTAAAATCTCATTAAAATTAGGTCTCTTACTCCAATATGAAACATCTCACTGAAAAGAGTTTATAAAACATCCATAGGTCTCATGATTTGTGCTATGAGTGAACTATTAGGTGTATAAGTGATACCATTCACATACAATGGGATGTGCAAAATATCCACAATTGTCATTGAACTGTAGCAAATGTTTCAAGACCAAGAAATCTGAAATTGGAAGCTCCTATGTAGGGTTTATGAGAAAGGTTTTACCACAGTATTGGGTAATATGGGAGCAAGGATTCTTTCTCTCTAAATTGGGCATGATGGGCCAAACAATATCATACTTTCTCTGATACTCTTAAATTCTACTTCTCAGATCCTGAGATTGATTCAACTTTGAATCTGATACATGCCAGTCATTGACTTCATATTTTGGGATTTATCAGTTTACTGATGGATTCAGACAAAACTCACTTGGCATGTTTCATGTTTGTCTGTGTCATTGGCGTCTTGTCAAAAATGACCCTACGTTTTTCTTCACATGCTGCTTAAAAGGCCCCAACTAAAATGGACATATCTTCTTGGTAACAATGGAGAAATGGGACTCCAAATCCACTGTCAGTTTAATAGAACGCCCAAAGAAACAGCTGGCCTTTGAAAAGCAAATCAATAAGCAACATATTTATTTACATGAAAGAGCAGTTGCTCTTAATACATGTAATGAAATTTCTCCAATTTATCCCTGATATATTTTAACGTACTTTCAACGTTATATGCGACGGAGTAAAACAATCACAATGGTCGAATTCACAATAGCTTGGATCAAACCTAACTGCCACAGTGCAAGTTGTTCCTTTGAGGCTGATAGAAGAGATTTAAAGCGAAACATTTCTTGCAACTTGGAAATATTAGTTAAAATAGTTGACACGCTTATAGAGTTACCTAGCAGCAGCCATTACAACAGGAAAGGCTAACACCAAGTGTGTTTTCATGAGTTGGCATGATTGTAAATTTTAGACGGAAGTGGCAACTGACTGAAACCAAAGGGAGGTTACTCTAAAACATTTTGAAGGAGATTTTGAGGCCCTTTTAAGGTTATGATTGAAAGAAACAGTTGATCAATATTGTTCTTGGCTCACCTGAATTTGTGGCTAATATATACAATATACAGGAAAGGGTTCCTTACGTACGCTGACATCGAGATCGATCCCAGGTATGTAAAAAATTAGGTGGGGGGTACGTAAGGAACTCTAACCCAATGCACATATTCTTTCGTCAATGCACTATTAAGTCTTTGTGTTCTCGAGATATATGAAGAAACTAACTTAAAAAACATTGCAAATATTACACTTGTATAATACGTACAAAGAATTATTGGAAGAAAAGACTAAATCTGAGGCAGAAAATAAATCATGTGTGCTAACAGTCAGGTGAACAGTGCTGAGATGGAAATGGCTGCACCGAGAGAGTGATGCTTGAAGTTGCAGGAGTTAATTATGAGTGTAATTAGTACAAATGACACCAATACACCATCGCCATTTTTGATATGATGGTAACTAAGAAAGGGTTCCCCTTTATATACTGAACCACAAAAGAAACGTCGCAACGATAGCGGTATCTTAAAGCACACACTTTAATTCACTCTAATTAACAATCAAAACGGAGGATTCAGTTCAAACTTGACAGTTATGGTTACCACATTGTCGGGAATCACAATTAGAGTTCAAACAAACAAAATCATCAAGAATAGTACCATTAAGATACCCCAAAGTCAGTATTGTGTGTGGCCTCTATGGGCATCGATGAAAGTGTTGCATCGTCTGTGCATGGAATGAATTAGCCGGCTGACGAAGGCTATATGCACTTGGGTCCATACTCTGTGAAATGCCTGATTGAGTCAAGCAGCAGTTGTCGGCCTTGGGTGGAGGTCATTCAGTCTTCTTTGAATCTCGCCCCAAAGGTGTTCTATTGGACTCAAATTCGGACTGAGTGCAGGCTATTGTATGGTTTGGATGCCATGTTGTCTTAGGAAGTCCAATGTTACTCCGGCAGTGTGGGCAAGAGCGTTGTCCTGCTGGAAGATATGATTTCTGTAACTTCCAAAGTGTGGCACAACGTGGGGTCTTATGCCTTGGTCAATATAGCGAGCAGCTGTCATGTGATTTCCTCATCCTGGACCGAGATTCTGGAACACCACGGTTTCCACTGTCTGGTTCAGACCGATTGCATCCCACATCATCATGCTTGGACCACCCCACGAGTCTATTTCAACAATACAAGCCTTCACCATACTCTCACTCTTCCATCGACTGTCGAAACACAATATCGGCTTTCATGAGAAAAATGTAAAGTTCTCCATTGTCGATAACGCCAATTTCGATGCTGAGTTTCCCATTGCAGTCGGTTTTGGCGGTGATGAGCGGTGAGGACAGGACTACGATATGGCCTGTGACAGCAGAGGTTTCTTCCGCGCAAACGTCGACGCACTGTATCGGCACTGATGGGTCTGTTGTGAGTCCCAATGGTCTGGCGTGCTGTTTCCGTCGCTCTGGGGAAGCGATACTGCAGTTGGTGGCGCACAACCTGTCGGTCTTGACGTTGTGATGTTACTGAAGGTCGCCCACTGCGTGGACGGCCTTGGATGCTGTTAGTGACCTGATACCACTCCTGCAGTCGGTAGGTTGTCCCAACATCAACATTAAAATGATTGGCTACCCTCAGTGCAGTCTGGCCAGCTTGTAATTGTCCCAAGACTTGATTCCTCTGATCCCTCGTAAGTCGTGCCATGGCGACTGATTAAAAACAAAATGATTTCAGGCGCGTTTGGCACTCGCTTTCATTGGTAGGGTTGTCACGATACGCACGGGCATTTTCGTTTTCACGAATGTCATACGAAACCTTTTACCAAGTCTGCCTTTTTAGGTGCGTTATATGCCTTTTCATCAGAAAACACACTGATGTTGGTAATAACTGTCAATTTGGATTGAAAAACATGTTAACAAACTGATACAATCATAATATAAACACCATGTTGTAAAAACAAAATCTTTCATTTGGTTTTGAAAAGCGACGTTTCTTTTCAGGTTCAGTATATATTCACCAGCATTGAAAACGCACCAGTCTAAAATTGTCCATATTTTCATAAAGATGGATTTCAGCATGACAATTAACAATGAATATGACTAACATGAAGTCACAGGGCATGTCCAGTTGAAAAAATGTTTTAGAAACGAGTTCCTGTTCACATAATAATCGTAACTCAAAAACGCAACAACATGCACCCACGCCATGAAAAAAGCGAATTTCGTTCTGAAATTATGCTGACTGTGACCTTAAAAGCAGGTGTATGAAAAACAATTGTCATTTCTTCACTAACGATTGTGAAACGAGGGCAGAGACACCTCAGGAAATAGAGCGTGCACTAGGCATGATTCAGGTTGGCACAGCAGCAGAGATATTGCTCGACGACTTGGATGTAGCCACTCCACCATCGTTAGGCTTCATAGACGACATCAGCAGACAGGCAGCACCCGTGACTTCCACGACCTTGACAACATGTCACGACGCGCCGTCAAGATTTCCATATTGTCCATGACCATGTCCCTGATCGAATTCTGCTGCATTAGCTAATTCAAGGTCGACGTGGGGTCATCAGCGCCGACACCGGGCGACGCCGTCTACTCGCTGCGGGGCTCCATGCTTAATGTTATTACATTGGACCAATTCTGATTGACAGATATCGTAATGAGCGTATACAATGGGTTAACAAGCATGTTCAATGGGGGTTACAACACTGGCATGGTGTGGTATTCACCGACGAGTCACGTTTTCACCTACGTAATGCGTAGTGTGTCGTTCAGACAGACCGTTGGGATGGTGAGAGTATCATGGTCTGGGGTGGAATAAGTTACATTACACGACTGCATTCATGTCTGTCAAAGGAGAGTTATTTACTGTTTTACTACCGTGGCCAGATTCTTCAGAATCACGTCGTACCATTCTTCAATCACCACCAAGATGTCCATACTTTTCAATAGGACAACGCACGGGCACACACAGCTAAACTTTCCATGCAGTATCTGGCCCAGCAACACATCCAGGTAATTCATTGGCCAGCAAAGTCACCAGATTTATCCCCTATTGAGCACTTGTGGGACGAAATTGGTCAACATCTTTCGCGGCGACAACAGATGCGAAACATCCGGGACCTTGAGGAGTAGAGTGCCATCCCCCAGGAGTAGAATGCCATCCCCCAGAACACTATTCTGATGCTTATTGACTTAATGAAGAGACGTTGCACTGCATGTGTGAATGCAAATGGCAAATACAAATTGTGTTTGATCCTTTCTGACTGTGAAACAATTAAATGAGTGAGCGTTTCTTCTGTGTTGTTGTTTTTGTCAGTCATCCATCTGTTATTATCCACTAAAAAATATCAATTGCTTACATGTGCTTTTAGCACAGTGGTGTAGTGGTTAGCATGCTGGCCTCTCACGCCAAAGGGCCGAGATCGAATCCCGGTGGAGACACCCAAAATGTGTGACCTGGGTTTCATACTGTGGTCTCTCCCTGGGCAAGGCATTTCGTCCATATTGCACTCAGTCCACCAAGCTGTTTAAAATGGGTACCTGAGAAGCGGATGTACGGACCTATAGCTGCTTTGAAAGTACAATTCCTTCAGGGTAATAATGTGACATCTGAGAACAGCATTGCGTTGGATCCTAGGCGCAAAAATTAGCATTATTAGTATACTCCTAATAAAAGTTAAGCTTGTTGTGCCACAAATGTGCCACACATTTGTAGTCTCATTACATTTTCATTTATTGAAATTGCAAATCATGGAATGATGCAATAGAAAAGTGAAACATGTACACACGATTAACAAAATGAAATGAAATGTTATTGAGCAATAATGGACTTACAAATAATCAAAAGCATGTACCCGTGAAACAGTCGTGCAAAACGTGCTGCATTGATGGAGCAAAATGTAAACATTAAGGTTCAAGTCAGTTTTGGACAGTGAAGCAGTGTTCAGTAACGCGTATGACCACCATGAGCACAAATGCAAACTTCTACACGTCTTTGCATTGACCAAATGAGGCTTTAAAGTTGCTGCTGTAGAATGTTCTGCCATTCACTCTGTAACGCCTGCTCAAGGTCATCCAGTGTCTGGGGCTGAACATGGAGACCGTAAACACGACTTCGACTTAATGTTCCAAGCATGTTCAATGAAATGAAGATCAAGTGACCCTGCAGGCCAGGCCATATGTGTGATGTTGATCTAAACAACATCGTTAACAACTCTTTCTCGGGCATTATCATCCATGGACGGGCATTATCATCCATGAAAATGAAGTTAGGACCCGCTTGTTGTGCAAGAAGAATGATTACAGGTAGGTTTACACCGATCAGGGTGCATGTGTGAAGAGTGGAGTGATGTGATGTTGTCAATGTTATCAGATAAATCAATTTGACAGTCACTAAAGGTTATATATTCTTTGAATATTTACCTTTCAGTAACATGTCGGCAAAAATCGCTATCGAGATTGATAAAGATATTACACTGAAAATACTTCTTGCTTAATTTTTTGTGAGGAGTATATTATTATTATTTAGTAATCTCAACTTGTGTAAGTGGTGTGTTTTCAATGCTGGTGACTATATCTTATTGATCTGAATTAAGGAATTACCAATAATAGCCTTTAAATAAAAAGACTCTATCCTTATATGTTGTATTTTAATTCACACGCATTGGAAGTGAGTACCATGGCTACTTCGTAAGCCAACATGAGGTGGATATCTCAGAGGCCTTGCAAGAATTAATGGAGTTTGTTATAAGCAAACAAATGACAAGCATGGTCGCCTTTTGTGGCAAGCATGGGTTGCTGAAGACCTATTCTACCCCGGATCTTCACGGCTCCTTTCACTGTGATGTTTAGGAATGTCTGAAAAGACCAGACCGTCATATATTGCATGCATATATACTACCGACAGTATATGAAAACCCTGCTACATTTGAAACAGTTATGTTATATTGAGTTGCTAACAGAATATATACATTGAACAAATGTCAGGATCTGGTACGTCCCCGATGTTTTGCAATGCATTCTGTACAACAACCAAGCGTGACATCCAACAAACTGTCAATATGGGAAAGGTCAGGTCACGCAAGGCTTCTGTTTCTTTGCTGCTACAGAAGGTTTCTTGAATTGGATCGATGGGAACTGGTTTTGTCATCAGTAAAGTCAAAGTTTATCCCCATACAACGTTTGGTCTGTTTAATATTCGAACTATATGAGGCTGGCCTGAAAATAACTGACTCTCGACCAGATCAGCCAGTGATTGACACCTGGATCATAAATCCACACAATTGGAATACGATGACATGCAGCCAATGAGCATGACCACCCGATCAAGTAAGCTCTTCTTACAAGCATAGGTTGCGAGGGACCTGTTCTCATACTTGAAAACAGCAGTAACCTTATCACAGTGACGTGTTCTTCCAGCTGTGATCAGTACTAAATCCACTCGGAAACATAGTGTATAGCGGTAGTCTGCTATACTTACAGTCAGTTACATCGACTCGGCCAAAGCAAATGTGTCAAGTCTATTGTAGGGAGGAGGTGACGAATCTGAAATGACGTCATGGTTTCTATTGTTGAGACGTGTCTCAGCTGTGTGAGGGACAAGATGTGTAGCCGACAAACATGCAGGGGGTGCACCCTCCCACCCTTTTGTCCTGAGATTTTATTAAATGACCATTCAAACGCTCGTGAAAATGAAGTGTGAACATCCCCTTTCTCAAAAAGCTGTATCCACCCTTCAAAAGAGTACATATTTCCTAGATTCTCTTGATAGTCTTCATGTAAACGGAAATGACCATAAATCCAGCATGTGACACTTGACAGACTAGTTTCCTTCGCTCAGCATGTGTCTGATTGAAGTCATAATGAACGCCAGATTGAGTGTTATGCTTGTTCTGAATACCTATAACATCTGATTTGTATAGATTTAGTGATCATAAAAGATGACAAAAACATACTTTCAATTATATATTTGTTTCATATACAATACACAACAAATATGTATAAAAGTGATATACATGTAAATACTTCTTCAGCAATGTCAATACCTTCGTGGTAACTTAAAGTCTTTCAGTCTCATAGGCCAGCAATCTAGTCACAGCCCTTAAATGATCCTACTTTTTCAAGTTCATGAAGACAATTAAACAAATGACAAGCCTCTTCTGTGCAAGGCTATTGCTCAACATGAAAACAGAATCAAATGCAGATCCTCCTTGTAATGAGTGACCATCAGGTTTCACAAGGGTGAAATACAACTTTGTGCATAAACAAGCAAGATATAACTTTGAATAATACATAAGAAATACAATATATCTTATACAAATATAAGATATTCATTCAAAAAGATTGTGAATTTTCAAAAGCCTATAAGGAACAAAAGTACAAATATGTTCACAATTCTGTGACAGTTAACTAAACTTGCAAGTAACAATAAAATAGAAGTACAGCGAATCTGATGATCAGGCTCCATGTGCGAAGTTGTGCGTTTGTTGTTTAATGCATCACTCAGCTATATTGCTGCTATATGCCAGTGCCCTCTAAATAATCCAGCCTGGACCAGACAATCCAGTGACTGATACTGTGAGCAACGATCCATGCCATAGGAGTATGTTGACACACAATCAACCAAGTCACGACCATCCATTAAATTTCCTATCACAACCAGCTTATGTTGCTTAGGGCCATTTCTAACCTGGAACCCCCAGGGGTTGATTTGGCTCTGGAATCAAGACCTAAGTAAATGTGAAACACAAAGATGTTTCTATGTTTAGTTCTGCCATGAAAATGCCATAAATATCCATACTACTAAAACTAGTTTTAGAAAGCACAGGTTTCTCAAACCTTTAGGTATGTTTGTCAAATTCAAAATATTCCAGACAAATTGTTTACATAAAATAACTAAAATGGATCTTGTCCCTTCAGACTTTTTACAAGTTTTGACCTATGTTACACATTAATGGTCACGTTCCACCCTCATAATGCAGTAGCATTGTAATAACATTGTTGGAGTAACTTGCTGCCACCAAAAACAGGCATACATACATACAACAAGCATATAGTCTTCATGTTTAGTGAAACTAGAATCATATTAAAGGTGCTTTATGTCCTTGTGTCTTGGTACACAAAGATATTGGTAAGTGAAGTGTTGCAGAACATTTTGTCTGGGTAATCAACACTGAACATTTGAAGGTTGGATCAGAAGTCTACTGTGATCTGTCTTCAAACGTTTATCAGTTTATTCATTACTGGTCTAAATGACTTTTGCGAGATTGTTTAACTTAGGCACGGTAGATCAATATGCCAAATATTGGCTGCAGGGTCATCTAAATAATGTAATTTTAGGTGTTCATGAATATGACTGCCTAGTAGTGTTTGAATAATTTTTGTTGTCAAATGGTATTTGAGCTCTACTATACTGATATGCATTACACTGTGACTAAGTATATCTATTGGTCCTGTGACTTGTTACCACATACTTTCTCACACCCAGACATACATTATGTACACACATGCAGATACAGACATACGCGTGCACGCACGCATGCATGCACGCACGCATGCATGCACAGACACACACATATGAAACGACGTACACACACGGAGACACACACACCCACACATCATCCTGGGTGCTGATCATTCTTCTTCTGTAAGGTCATGCTGGTAAAGTCTGCCAGGAGAGAGCTGATGTTGTCCACCTGCTCTCGTGTTGACGTACGTTGTAGCTGCTGACACAGTTCATCTACTTGCTCTGACTCTGACTTTAACCCTGATAAATCCAAGTAGGTTTTCATCATCTCTGACACCTGCAATATTTATATGTATATGAACAGTGATTAAATATGTGTATACAAATTCCACCAATAGGATTCTGATTAATAAATAGGAATTGAGTAGGCCACAAAAAGTCTTTCAAATCAGGACCATTTTAGTGAGTTTAGTTTTACGCCCTACTCAGCAACAAATCAGGACCAATCAAAAAGGGCAAGTGTACACAAACAAATTTTATTTTACTGATTCAAATCAATATTCTCTAACACAACTGCATTTTTTCCACTAAGAAAAACTAATTGAGTTTAGTTATTGTTTTGGTTCATGTTGAGAAATATTTGGACCTGGCATTGTCAAGGAATGCAACAAGGGAGCTTTAGACCAGTGTGACATCCTTTTCAATAGACTTGTCCTTTTAGAGTCACCATTGCCAACATAGATTAACCTATCCAAAACAAAACAGAGTATAATTTACACATGACACAGATAGATCAATCAATCTTGAAAGTAAAGGAACCATCCCTACATGCACAACTTCATCTCGGATCTGCTTGGAAGAATAAGTCTTGTTCTCAGCCAAGTACTTCAGCTTGGCCTTTGCTAGAGTCACTGGGGTAGTGCCATACTTGTTCACAAGCTCCAAGTCTGGACCTGAAACGGGAATGCCAAAGATAAAGCTGAAGACCTTAGATCTGGTTGAAACTGCCACCATGACCAGAGAGCTTAATGTCTGTGGTTCTATTTTTGGCTGCATCTTACCAAAAGACATAAAAAGATGTTACTTGTTACCCTGTCTGGTGCTAGGCATTTAAGGGATAAAACAAAGGTGGCTGGTTTCAGCATACTGAATGGGTGTCCATGTTAAAAGTGATATTGTATATAAGTGGGCTATTACTATGAAAACAACAGCTGCATACAGACACATCAATGTGCAATGCTGTATAAGTGCACTACTTTAATGCAGTATCAAATCCCATTTCACCCCACCTTTTCCTGGTTGTAAGTACAAAAAGTAAAATGATTTATCTTGTTTTCATAGTGATTTTAATGTTATACTTAACTAGACCAAATCAGTGTACTTTCAAAATGTATATGAAACATTTTCAGTTTAAGCCCGCCAAAAAGTTGGTTGAAAGGACAACTGATGGCATCTAATAAAGAATGAAGGTAGCATGTGCATGTGTATTACTCCAAGTAGCTACTCACCTGCCTTGAGAAGGAGTGACACAACAGGCACCTGGCAGGTACATGCAGCTGGAATAACAAGAGGCTGTCAGAAACACAAGCTTTATGGTTCTTCCCAACATGCAATGTCATTGTTATGGTTCCTACCAACAAGTGATGTCATTGCAATGGCTCCTACCTACAAGTGATGTCATTGTTATGGTTCCTACCTACAAGTGATGTCATTGTTATGGATCCTACCAACAAGTGATGTCATTGCAATAGCTCCTACCTACAAGTGATGTCATTGTTATGGTTCCTACCTACAAGTGATGTCATTGCAATGGCTCCTACCTACAAGTGATGTCAATGTTATGGTTCCTACCAACAAGTGATGTCATTGCAATGGCTCCTACCTACAAGTGATGTCATTGTTATGGTTCCTACCTACAAGTGATGTCATTGCAATGGCTCCTACCTACAAGTGATGTCAATGTTACGGTTCCTACCAACAAGTGATGTCATTGCAATGGCTCCTACCTACAAGTGATATCAATGTTATGGTTCCTACCAACAAATGATGTCATTGCAATGGCTCCTACCTACAAGTGATGTTATTGCAATGGTTCCTACCTACAAGTGATGTCATTGCAATGGCTCCTACCTACAAGTGATGTCAATGTTAAGGTTCCTACCAACAAGTGATTTCATTGCAATAGCTCCTACCTACAAGTGATGTCATTGCAATAGCTCCTACCTACAAGTGATGTCAATGTTATGGTTCCTACCAACAAATGATGTCATTGCAATGGCTCCTACCTACAAGTGATATCAACGTTATGGTTCCTACCAACAAATGATGTCATTGCAATGGCTTCTACCTACATGTGATGTTATTGCTATGGCTCCTACCAACAAGTGATGTCATTGCAATGGCTCCTACCTACATGTGATGTCATTGCAATGGTTCCTACCAACAAGTGATGTCCTTGCAATGGGTTCTACCTACATGTGATGTCCTTGCAATGGCTCCTACCTACATGTGATGTCATTGTTATGGTTCCTACCTACATGTGATGTCATTGTTATGGTTCCTACCAACAAGTGATGCCATTGCAATGGATCCTACCTACATGTGATGTCATTGTTATGGTTCCTACCTACAAGTGATGTCATTGTTATGGTTCCTACCAACAAGTGATGTCATTGCAAAGGCTCCTACCTACAAGTGATGTCATTGTTATGGTTCCTACCTACAAGTGATGTCATTGCAATGGCTCCTATCTACAAGTGATGTCATTGTTAATGGCTCCTACCAACAAGTGATGTCATTTCAATGGCTCCTACCTACATGTGATGTCATTGTTATGGCTCCTACCTACATGTGATGTCATTGTGATGTCATTGTTATGTCATTGCAATGGCTCCTACCTACCTACAATGTGATGTCATTGTTATGGCTCCTACCTACAAGTGATGTCATTGTTATGGCTCCTATCTACATGTGATGTCATTGTTAATGTTATGGCTCCTACCTACATGTGATGTCATTGTTATGGCTCCTACCTACATGTGATGTCATTGTTATGGCTCCTACCTACAAGTGATGTCATTGTTAATGGCTCCTATCTACATGTGATGTCATTGTTAATGTTATGGCTCCTACCTACATGTGATGTCATTGTTATGGCTCCTACCTACATGTGATGTCATTGTTATGGCTCCTACCTACAAGTGATGTCATTGCAATGGCTCCTATCTACATGTGATGTCATTGTTAATGTTATTGCTCCTACCTACATGTGATGTCATTGTTATGGCTCCTACCTACATGTGATGTCATTGCAGTGGCTCCTACCTACAAATGATGTCATTGCAATGGCTCCTATCTACATGTGATGTCATTGTTAATGTTATGGCTCCTACATACATGTGATGTCATTGTTATGGCACCTACCTACATGTGATGTCATTGTTAATGTTATGGTTCCTGTCATTGCAATGGTTCCTACAACATGTGATGTCATTGTTATGGATCCTACCTACATGTGATGTCATTGTTATGGCTCCTACCTACAAGTGATGTCATTGCAATGGCTCCTATCTACATGTGATGTCATTGTTAATGTTATGGCTCCTACCTACATGTGATGTCATTGTTATGGCTCCTACCTACATGTGATGTCATTGCAATGGCTCCTACCTACATGTGATGTCATTGCAATGGCTCCTATCTACATGTGATGTCATTGTTAATGTTATGGCTCCTACATACATGTGATGTCATTGTTATGGCACCTACCTACATGTGATGTCATTGTTATGGCTCCTATCTACATGTGATGTCACTGCAATGGCTCCTACCTACAAATGATATCATTGCAATGGCTCCTATCTACATGTGATGTCATTACAAGTTATGTCATTGTTATGGTTCCTACCTACATGTGATGTCATTGTTATGGCTCCTACCTACATGTGATGTCATTGCAATGGCTCCTACCTACAAATGATGTCATTGCAATGGGTCCTACCTAGGTGCAGTGGAGTGTTTCCCAGTATATCCTTCTGGTTGACGTCTGCTCCCTTGTCCAGCAACACCTTCACAATCAGCTCATGACCCTGACAGGAAGCAAAGTGAAGGGCAGTCCTCTTCTTCTCATCATGGCTGCACGGATCAACTCCACTGTCCAGCAACTCAATCACTGGGCACAAAGAATCATCATCTCAACCACATGACAGAAAACAAACATTTAAACAATTCAGTTCTGTCTGAAAGAAGTGTCATTTTCTTATGGTTGCCCAATAAGGTCATTTCTGGCCTGTCTAACAAAGAAAATACCACAATGTAGATATTATCTTGGCCAGTAGAAAATATATAAGTAGTGTCATTGCAATGGCTCCTACCTACATGTGATGCCATTGTTATGGTTCCTACCTACAAGTGATGTCATTGTTATGGTTCCTACCAACAAATGATGTCATTGCAATGGTTCCTACCTACATGTGATGTCATTGTTATGGTTCCTACCTACATGTGATGTCATTGTTATGGCTCCTACCTACATGTGATGTCATTGTTATGGTTCCTACCTACATGTGATGTCATTGTTATGGTTCCTACCAACAAGTGATGTCATTGCAATGGTTCCTACCTACATGTGACAAGTGATGTCATTGTTATGGTTCCTACCAACAAGTGATGTCCAATGGTTCCTACCTACATGTGATGTCATTGTTATGGTTCCTACCTACATGTGATGTCATTGTTATGGCTCCTACCTACATGTGATGTCATTGCAATGTAGACATTATCTTGGCCAGTAGAAAATATATAAGTAGTGTCCACTTGTATTTGTCAACTTGACAAATATTTGTTGTATAGTATAATATTCATGAATTCCAAAAAAGCATACCTGTACAATATTCATTTTTTGAAGCTGCATTTCTTAATTTTTTCTCATCTGCAAAAAGAATTAAAGCATCCATAAAGAAATATAAGGAGGTTCTTGTTTTTCAATGAATATGGGACTGCACATTATCTATGAGTCATCATGGAAAGCACTTGCTATCTTTTTCATATTTGATGATAAAACATAAAACAATCATGGGGGTACTTAAAATGTATGGCCTTTTTCATAAATATGATTTTCAAATTGTCAAAGCATGAAAATTTGTCATATCTAATATACCCAGTACATTTCCAAATTCCAAACTGCTGTAACATTCATTGTCACTCATATAACAATTGACACACAGTATTGTGAGAAATCATACAACAACAACTCAGTTTTAATTACTGCTGTTTATCGCTCATGATGTGCAGATAGACAATCGGAGTGCAGTAATCGATCAATAATCAATTGTAATCATGAACCCCACCACAAAACTCATGTTGGTAAAAACAGCACTCATTCATAACATTGTACAAACAAAACAGGCAACAATTAATACCACGATCAAGACGATCAAGGATACTTCCTGTTTTGACAGGAAACTGCATCAGTTGTTTATGTCTTGATATAACAAACATAACAATAAGAAACATACTTTCTAATGTTTAGTTCAATGTTTCCGTTTTTATGAATATCAATTAATCTAATGGTCTTTTGACCGATTATTCAATCAATTGCCCCAGCACTAGCTTCAATGCTTTTTCCTAACAGTAAGCAATTAAGACAAAATAATGTATTGATAAAACAGGAATACGGAGATTGCAGTGGAATGTGGAAGATCAGATGTCTGTAATTCCCCTTTTTATAGGGGACCACTTTAAAACAAACAGGTATCGGATTAAAATCAGGATGAATCTGAAAATTTTACAAACTGACCATGAATATTTCTTCCAGTGGTCCTTCCAGTTTGTTGTTCCTTCATGCGTTTCCGACGGTGTGTTTGTGACACTCTGATCTTTCCAGTGACCTTCCTCTGCTGAGAGTTGGTGTAGGAGGGGTTAAGAGGCACCAGACACATGAACTGGAGCCCTGCAGGGGGCTCTGGGTTCCAGCTGGTGAAGTCAAACTTGGGATGCTCAAACCCTGCTACCTGCAACCAGCAATTCTTTAGCCATGTAATAAACAACAGATAGTGTGATTATAGAATCAGTTTGCCACTAAACAGTATCTTAAAAACTTGGTATGTCTCGTGAAAAACATATTTAGAATCGGAAAGTAGACATTTACATATTAGGTATAAATAATCTGACATAATAAATCTATGACTAGTTTGATGGGCATTATAGCAGCCGAGGTGATTAAGAATGATGATGAAGCTTGCTTGACAACAACATTAGAATCTATGTCAAAATGTCGCCTTTCACAAATGAAGTTTTATATTCATAAAAATTGTCATCATTCTTCATAAGACTATTTCTGAGTCATGTTCATATTGTCATGACATGGTACTGCTGGGCCTCCAACTCATGGTAACCATACCTACATTCCCCTGCAAATCTGACTATATTATTTTACAATGTGCAGCATAGAAATATTGTTACCAGTGATAAAAGTGTAGGAAAACTGGGTTAAATTATAGCGTAAGCATGGGGGCAGGGGCTTCATAACGGGATATTCAAACTATACGTACCACATATAAAATAACTGTCTACCAGATAGTCTTGTAGCACATTGTTTCACTTGCTCTACTACGGGACAACTTCTTGTCCGGGGTTACCGTTCATCGTAGCGCTAGATACATTGGGTAGGCCACGTGGTTGGTGCTAAATATGTTGGGTAGGCTCTGATTGGCGGAGACGTCCGTCATCAGTAGGTGAACTTTGACCCATGTCAGAGGTTGTTCTAGAGAGCTATATAAGTGACCTGGCTCTCTGGATTCAGTGTCTAGCTTTCGGTCATCCGAGCATCAGGTAATATCTCTGTCCCGAGGTCCTGTTTCAGGATCATTCCCTCCCGGTTTGCAGAGTGGAATGTTAGGTTTTGTGGAGGGGGATGCTAAGTTTTGTATATTCGTGTTAGGTCGGGTTGGGGGAAAAGTAGAAGTAGGAAACGGAATAGGTATTAAGCTTTAGACTTTGGGTAATATCCAGTTAAACGGGGTTGGTTTGGGGTGGCTTTTCAGAAGAAGTTTCTCTATGGATTGTTAAAATGGGGAAGTTAGGTTCCTTTTAAACTAGTCTTAGGTCGGGTTGGGGGAGAATTAGGAGTAGGAAACGGAATAGAAATTGAGTTATAGACTTTGGGTAATGTCCAGTTAGACGGGGTTGGTTTCGGGAGGTTCTATTTTGAAGAGGTTATAGGGGTTTGGTGTTTTTCCTCACGAAGCTTGTTTTCTTAAATCTAATTATGTGAGTGAGAGAGAAGTGTAGTTTACAGACTGTTAAGTTTTTGTTTGTCTTTTGTAATAAATTATATTATCAGTGTTATCTTGTGTCTGTTATTTCCCAATAGGCTTTATGCCCGATTCACGAACTGGTCACTGAGTTTTGAGTAGAGAACAGATCAACCCGAACGCACACATATAAAATAAAAGTACACAACGCAAAGTCCAAACAAGGTTGATTAAACATCATGTTCCTACACACTACTTAACTTAACTCAGCTGTCACTGGGCGATGGTAGTCTACTGAGAAGGGATACGGTGATTTCGTAGACTGAACCAGTTCGTAGACGCGGTGGATTCGTAACCCAGACTGGTTCGTAGACGGTGATTTCGTAGACGGTGATTAATAATTGAATAATAGTATATATTAAGTTTGATTTTTACACACCACGAGGAAAAGGTTTTTGGAAGTTTAATAATTCATTACTTTATGATGAAAAATATGTGGAACATGTAAAAAACACTATTAAAAATACTCTACAGCAATATGAAGAAAAAAAAAGAAATGAAAAGAAATATACCATAAACGACCAATTATTAAAAAGACAGAGATAATGAAATAAATAAATGATAATTTCCCGACTGATTAACAGGTTTCACTGAGTTGTTGTGAATGTGGATTAACAGGTTTCACTGAGTTGTTGTGAATGTTAATTAGGAAGTGGTGAGTTGTTTTGATTGCAGAAATACTCTGTGTAGGAGATGTAAGTGTTTTCTGCTACTTCTCTGCTGGTCTGCGTAGTTGAACGTTGAATGACGATACTTACCTAATACATATCTTTTAATTTTACACAACTGAATTTAATATATTAGCGGCCTATGATTTGTCCAAGTTTGTCGGACGTGAACCGCTGTGAAGCATGTTTTATTATTTTATTATTTTAAGCATATTTTCACCGCCGATCATACTTACCTGATATATTTTATTTATTTCACAAAATGCAAACACTTTTAGTCGATTTTCTTCACCACTGAGGTTGAACTTTTCCCATTTTACTAACGTCTACGAATCCACCGCTCAATCCGTCTACGAATCCACCAGATTTCCACGTCTACGAACCAGTCTGGTCTACGAATTCACCTACAGCCTCTGAGAACCACGCCTATTACAAAAGGCACATCGAGTGCAACCAGAATTTAAAAACATGAAATTTGAGCTGAAACAAATCATATCTCATTTTAAAAAATATAAACAAATGTAAAGGGCAATTTCAGGTGTGATTAGTTCATGAAAAAGACTTTTACTACAATCCTTGCAGGCAAACAACTATTTTGGACACTGCTTTTCACTCTCTCGCTCTTCAGTTTAATTAGTTACCGTATATTCGCCTTCAGTGCTGGTTCCATCACTTTCGCTGTCGTCCGTTTCGTTGTTCATTCCTGCAATTAACTAAACGGTTCTAAGTTCTAAAAATGAAAATATAGTGTCTTCAAGTTCCAGTCTGCTAAGTTGGCACATATAATGAACCGCACTTATCTCCCCTTGAATTTGAGTCGCTTAGAAGAAAAGCAAACTATTAAGTAGATCATTTTTGTTTCAACATAAAATATGCCCGAAATGTAATATGCTACTAATAGCTTTCTATTGTTGAAATACAACCTATCTGTTTTCATTTATATAAAATAAAAATGATGAATTTGGATTGATGTATGGAACATCCGGAAGTTTACAATCTGACGTTGACACGTGTTTTCGTGTATTACGTTGTTGACAGATTTACACGTCAGGATTTTTCACGATATGTTCAGTATCTATAATGTTATATACGTTCCAACTTTTGTTTTGGTTTCCCTTTATACTGATATTTTTATACCTGCTACTAAATTATGTTGTTAAAGGAAAAAAGGCAGCTTGCGTTGTTGTACTCGGAGACATCGGACGTAGCCCACGGATTCAGTATCATGCATTGTCACTTGCAAAGGAAGGATACATGGTGGACATCGTGGGCTATGGAGGTAAATCACAAACAGATAATTTCTTGTTGATCTGACCTTGACTCGGGTGATACTATCATATCTTTTTAGAGCCGCGATGCCGTCCTATTCAGTCAAGACATAACCCTGCATCGCTCGTGACTGTATTGTATATATCTGTACATAGGACCGCATCGTGGCCCTCGGCTAATCTTTTCAATGTATTTTACTTTTGGGAAACAATTCCACTGAACGCTTATGTTAAAATATACTATGAATTCACTAGTAGGCACTTTGGATAAAATGATTATCTAGCATCTAGACAGGGAATTTGTTATCACTGGTTATCCAAATGGTTATGAAAGAGTTTTTTCAAGTTTGAGAAAGGTATAGAACATTTTTAACTAGAAAATATATACTAATAGTATACCGTTTGGCTTTAACTACTAGAGCATTCAGCAGTAATACTACAGTATGTATATAATCACATATTTGCAAATGTACTTTACGTTTTTACTCACATGAAGGTTCAGTTCCACATAAACAAGTAACAGATGAAGAAAACATATCAGTTCACACAATGATGGAACCTCCTGCTCTGTTCAGAGGTAAGCCGTACCTTTCTCATTTTCTTCATGGTATGCATATCCAAAATGTATATATAATGATGTTATTTAATACACTGATGAGTTTGAAAGAATTTAAAAGTCAGTGAGTGTCTGAGTGAGTTGAAGTTCAAGAAAAGTTAGTGTAAGAGAGCATTCCAGCCTGAAGGTAGAGGCGTTTCCAGTTATTTCTTCATATGAATATTGTCACTCTGCACACAGAAAAGAAAACTCTTAGAAGTCATTTTGTTGTAATTGTTCTTAAATTACAAAAAACCCAGAGAAATAGATGTAAGGATATTCTGACAATGTGATCCTCAAAGCATACCAATGATAACCTACTATAAATATGGGGAAACTGACATTTGTCACTGCTTTGATATGTTTATAAAGAATGATCAAGTGATCATGCTCATCACTTTCTTGATGAATTTCATCATATCTAGTAGGTCCGTGCTCACGATGTCATTCACTGGATTATCAAGTACAGAGTCGGTTATTTACAGACTCCCACTGTATTGTCTTCCACTGTATGGTCTAAATATTGCTGAGTACAGCTTTAAACAACAAATTGTTTAAAGCTGTACTCAGTAGATGAATCATTTTGACGTTGGGTTCATTTTTTACAGTGTTTCCAAGAATCATAGGCTATTTTCTGAAAGTCATCTGGCAATCAGCTGTTCTTGGATTTACTCTTCTCCTGTTGCCTAAGTCTGGATATACACTGCTGCAGGTAAGATGCTCATCTGTCCATCACTGTTTCATTGGACAAGAATTTTATTTTAATCTGATTCTACATGTTTTGGATGGAGAAAGTGCGACAGTGTAATCACAAATATAACATGTTGCATGATCAAACACTTTCACAGAAACTACAAAACTACATTGATGAAACATTATTGAATCATATGTATTGAATTACTCTTCCTCATGTTAAATATAGAATAATTGGCTTTGAAATACTTACGAGGGATGTTGAACAATATACTTTATATAGTCTATTAATGGAAATATTTAAGAATTAACTGCAATATTTGTTTATGGCAATATGAATAATATTGAAATCAATTCTTAGGAATATTTTATTCAACAGTAATGACCTCACAGACTGCTTATTTAATCATTAACATATGAGAGATGGACAATGTACATTAATATGGCTTTGGTAACCGGAGTAACACAATACATGGCCATAATCAGCCAAACAAGAAACTGTAGTCTATTATTGGGAGTGGCCTGTTTATGATAAGGTTAATAGTAACGTAAAAGCTAAAGAAAAACACTGGTTAGCAAATCAAATGAAATTTATTTGTTGTGCTATGAACAATAATACTACAAACACAAAGCCACCTACTGTGGACATTATGGTGACAGTTTGATGATCACTTTGCAAGTGCATGTCAGTTTATGTAAAGAAACATTCTTCTAGGTTGCAAGTCAGGCTGAAACTAGATAGTCAAAGTTGTTAAAGTTCCAGCTTGTAATCAGTATTCTAAACCATGGAGCTTCCTGAGTTATTCATACTTGTTGATGGAACAGCTTTGTCAGCCGTCAGATGGTTATTGTCTTTGGCACTTGAAGATGATGTCTGTCTGTTCTCCCTAGAACCCCCCTGCCATCCCAACTATTGCCGTCTGCTGGCTTGTGTCGCTACTGAGATCCAGCCATCTTGTGGTAGACTGGCACAACTATGGCTACACCATCCTCAGCCTTAGCCTGGGCAGGTCTCATCCACTCGTGGCCTTCTCAAAGTGGTCAGTGTGATTTCTTGTTTTAGACTTGCTGATGCATTAATGTCAAGTGTGGAAGTCATTTGGAAACATTTCATATTTACCTGATTTTCTTCACCGATTGTGTTTTTAGAGAATGCCTGACCTCGTATGTTATATTCATGCAGTTAGTCTTCAGGTCTTCAAGGTTAAAACTTCCACTGAGTACAATTTTACACACAAACACAATATGGCTGCTTTATGGCCAAATCTCTCAAAAGGCCTGTAATAGCAGTTATATCTATAGATATTACTCTTACAATTGTGTCTGTTTAGGTCTAACCACCAATCGAATTGTGATTACAGTTTGAAATATAACAAAATCCTTTGTTTTCAGGTATGAAAGATTCTTTGGAAGATTTGCAAATTCCAACCTGTGTGTGACGGAAGCCATGAGGAAGGACCTGCATGACAACTGGGGTGTAAAGTGAGTTGAGTGGAATTTGTTGTTAAGATCGGTGCTAATGCTGCAAACTTGGGGATATATGCATGGAAGGTGTAACCAATCCTGGATCTAAGTTAAAGTCCCTTGAAATTATTTGATGTTTTTACTTGTGTAATCATCATTAAACATTGGATCTATAAAATATATCTGAGGGTAAACAAAAGTTTTATGCATATAACTGAACTATGTTTGGATTGTTTGAAATATTGAGTGAGTTTAGTGGAGGGGAGGGCATAGGAATTAAGTTGGGGTGGGTGGGGGGTGAACTTAGTTGGTTGATGCCAGGTTCAATGCCTCAAAGTTATGTATATACACCTGGAATGAGGAACCAGTTCTGGATCTAAGGAACAGGTTAGGTCTCTCAATGTTAGTGAGTGAGTTTGGTTTTATGCTGCTTTTAGCAATATTCCAGCAATATCGTGGCAGGGACACCAGAAATGGGCTTCACACATTGTGCCTATGTGGGGAATTGAACCCATCTCCTTGGCATGACGAGCAAATGCCTTAAAGGTCACATAAACCCTAGGGGGTAAAAATACATAAATCACTAACTGGCATCGTTATAAATGAAACCCCGTCATTAAAACTACTCATTTCGACCTTTAATTGACTTAAATCGACCTTTTTGACAACAGTGCACAATTCTCACCCGCGAACGAAACTTCAACCAATCAGAGCGGCGCGACTCTGTGACATCATATGAGGAATAGCTTTAAGGGGCGATGCAGAATTCATCTACATTTTAGGGGGTAAATTATCTTGTTTACAGGCTTGTATAAACCTGAAATCGTGACAATTGTTGTGGAAAATGAAAGCTATGTTCTCACAATCTACTGTCATTTAATTTTGTCTCCCTGCTTTGCCTAGTTTCCGAAGTTACAACTTGTTTTCATAGACGCTTCTGTCACAATTGATTGGTGTCGTTAGGCCCTATTTGTATAATGACTGATCCAAATTGATCCCATTTCTGTGTTTTTACCTCGATATTTAATCATGTCATGTAAAAATCTGTTTGTATTCTCAAAACAGTGTCGGCCCATAAGTTTTCACATGCAATACAGCAATTAATACTCCCTTGTTGTAACCCGTGTTAGGTGGTATAAACCTACACATGTTATTTGTCATCATTCACTTGATGGTCAGTTAATAAATTTATAACAGGTATAATAAGTGGTAACACACTTAGATTACCCGACAAAGGTTCCCATTTGGCATTTCTTGTGTCTGGAGTAAATATTCAACATTATAAACATCGATCAAAGGGTTAACCGATAACACACTGATTGATTAATTACTTTATCTTACACAGCGAATTGTCAAAAGGTAGTGTTTATGTATGTAGATTAACTAATCTATACTGAATACACTCTGCCGTGTCGGTGTTCATGTAAAAACAACGCCCTTCTTTCAAAGGATTAACCGCAATACATTGATTGATTGCCCATTATTGGCTAACTAAATTACTGTTTTAATGAAAGGCGGACATTATGCAATTAGTTGCCAGGTGTGCTATCTTGGGTGACCAATGAGACTATACACCAATACCTGAAAAGATTGATCACTTTTTCGTATATTAAACTGTTAAAAGACACATCATTTGGAACAGTTTTGTGGATATTGATGGATACATTCCTCAAACAAGGTAATGGCCTGATATTGTTCCTATAACTTTAATCTGTTTTAATTTTAATATTTGCATTTTGTTTTTTATTTATTTGTCGTAGTATTCAACAGAATCATTGTTTTCGCCGTGAAGTGTAATGAGACAGACAACATACACTAGGGTGTGTGTGCGAATTATGATTCACATTTGCAAACTGTAAAATGTCTAGATATTACAGTTCTGTTATAAATTCACTATAAGTCTCAGCAGATCGTCAGCTTTTTATTTAGTTTCAAAATGCATAAAAGTATGATAATAAACTAATTAGGATTATAAGACCAAATATAAAGACGCACATTGACTAGTATCTACATACTGGTGAGTGGACATTAACCATGTGAATGTAGCAAGAAATTTATCGCGCAGTATTGTGACTTCGACCCCCACCTCGCTTCCGTGGAAGAAATCGTTATGTTATAAGTTGTGTCATGCAAAATCCTTTTGGTTATGATTCCAATACATATTTAACTACGAGTAGAAAGTAGTTTTGATTTTCTAACTTGATGAAAACAAACTACAGTGGACTCTGTCAATACCGGCCTTTGTAAACACCGGCACTCTGTCTACATCGGCTCAAAGTTTCAGTCCCGGCAGAAATGCACGTTCTTTTCATTTAGAAACATCTGTAAACATCGGCATCTGTCTATTCAGGATATCGGCATTGTCTTTCAGTCCCAACAAACAAGTTGTTATGAAAACGAATCTGTAAAAACCGGCACATGAAAGACGGCGTAACCCTTTGATGAGATTAGGTCCAAATGATGTAACAACACAATTCGCTGTGACCCCCGAGATTATTCAGAAACGGGAAGTGTTAATCAGCATCTTGTTAATCAGTGAGTGGTACGTAACACTTACATAGAGTAATTAATGCATGTAGTGGGCAGTTTGGCTGTAAAAACAAGCAAGTGTTTACATGTTGTTGATTCGAGGGTATTGACTCCTGAGATTATTCAGAAACGGGAAATGTCAATCAGTGTCTTGTTAATCAGTGAGTGGTACGTGTCACTTACATGGGCAGTTTGACTGTAAAAACCAGCAAGAGTTTAGTTGATTCGAGGGTACATGTATTTAAGGTAAAATCGTATAATGTCAGTAGTGTAATAGTCAGCATCGCCAAAATGCCTCGGCCGGCAAAACGAGCACGATGTGAGTTGACCCTTCAACAAAAAGTGCAGCTGATAGAAGATTTTGATAAAACACCTCGACCTACACAGAAAGCATTAGCATCAACATACGGAATCGGCAGACAGACTGTCTCTGATATTTTGAAGAGACGGGATCATTACAATACAAAGTAAAATCAGTGCCTTTTTCACAAGGTAAACAAAATACAGTATATCTTGTTTTTATTTGAATGAATAAACATGAATGTGCATTCAGACACTGCCTTATTTCTTATTCAGACATGTTGTTAATGCTCAAGTGACAGTACGACCATGAACTTCCCGTGTGCGCCGGCGTCATAAGCGACCCCTAGGAGCAATTGACGACAAAGCAACGATTCGGCATGTCGTCGTTCATGTTGAGAAATCATAAAAATGATGAGCGTGCTACACACTTTCTATACAACTAACTGAAAATCGTTCCTCATATGACGTCACTGCAGTGCTCTGGTGACAGAGTTACGTAACCTGTCTGTGGTTTCGATGGCGGGCGAGAGGGAAGCAGGCGACTTTTTGGCCACTTTTAATCGCTCGGTATTAATTAACCACAAGTTTTTAAAGAATAAATTTGGTGTTCCGCATAAGACTAACCACAAATCTTTCATATGTAATGGTTAAAAGAGTAACAAAAAACAAAGTTTAGTGGTTCTTTAACCACTGGGCTACCCCACCGCCCTTCAATATCAGTGGATGCCTTTATTTGTTTAATCATTGTTTAGTCATCTATGATGATATATATAGACCCGTGCAGGTCAAGGTTAGAATGTACCTTCAGCAACCCATGCTTGTCGTAAGAGGCGACTAACAGGATCGGGTAGTCAGGCTCGCTGGCTTGGTTGACACATGTCATCAGTTCCCAATTACGCAGATCGATGCTCATGCTGTTGATCACTGGATTGTCTGGTCCAGACTCGATTATTTACAGACCGCTGCCATTAGGGCTGGGATGATACGACTATGTCACGATATGATACATATCGTGATATTTTACCTGCGATATGATACGTATCACGATACATACACCTTGAAAGAATGACTCGGTATCAAGATTTAAAATGATTTATTTCAAGGTATTTGTGTTTAATAATAACACTATTGTAATAAACGAACAAGTAACTCTATCTTACTTGCGTATTTTTCTCTAAATATGTACTGTAACATGTTAAGGATAATACTGTTTTGCCAAAAAAGTTGTGTATCGTTTTGTATCGATACACCAGTTGACGATACGATAGCTGTATCAAACTTAAATATATTGCGATGCATCGATGCATTGGTGAATCATCCCAGCCATAGCCGCCATATAGCTGGAATATTGCTGAGTGCAGCATAACACTAAACTCACTCACTATGATATATATATCTGACATCTGAGGTTAAACTTATGTTTTGTGCATGTTCATTTACCTAAACTGTCTCTGGATAGTTTCAGACACTTTATGTTCACCATGCATTTTATAAGATATTTCACAGCAGCATGCACAAAGAGACTATACTACATTATGTGAAATGGAAATCCCATGATGGCATTCCTCATTGACTGGCAGTCATTGAGGTCCATCATTCTGAACCAGTTGTCAGTGCTTCAGGTTTCATACAAATTCAGCTGAACAAGACTGACAGAAAAACTAACATACCAATCATTTTATCCTTGTGTAAGCAGCACTAGTTACAAGCTGCAATGGCCATTCAAATAAGGTTTATGCTATGCTTGTAGACTAGTTTTAAGACAAAGATTTCAAAGTCTGCCTGTACCATGTTTTGATGCCCTGTAAAACAAGGGTTGTCTAATTGTCCCAGAGCAGTGACGTTGTATGACCGACCACCAGAGCGATTCAAGGCTACGTCAGTCTCTACTAAACATGAGCTCTTCTCCAGACTGTGTCAGGAATACCCTGTGTTTGCTGCAGAGTAAGTATACTGTCACTCTTTTCCAGATCTGAATCAAACATGATTTGGAGGATATTAGTGCTCTGGGTTAGAGATTGAAACTTCTAACTATTTTGTATTATTTCCAAAATTGTCTGTTTCCAATTTTCATTCAACCCATGCCAACTAACCTGACTGATGTTTGACAAACCAGAAGATCTGACTGTGCTCTGTCTAGTCTTTATGTTACAGCAGCACAACACACAGACAGACACAGTTTACTTTTGTAATGAAAATTACAGAGGGTGTAGGAGAGAAACATTCATGTAATATCAAAATAAGCATTATGAGTTTAACATAGTTGGAAATGTCTTGAACTGAAACAACTGGACTGAGAATTATCATGATGTGGACAGACATTCATACACAACACATGGAGATCATATGACATTGCGCTGTGCAGGTCGCCAGAGAATCCCGTATTTACCAGCAGAGACGAGTTAGGTGTAGTGGAACGAAGGTCAAGGCCAGCACTTCTTGTCAGTAGTACCAGCTGGACAGGTGAGCTTCTGTACCTTGCAGTGTGTTTGTTGTAATGGCTTGGAGGATATTGATTTACCTGATAGACTGGTGGATTGTTTCTTCATAATCAGTCTGTCACCTGTACATATGTGAGAGAGGATAAGTGACCCAGTGGTGAAAAGCATTGCATCTAACTGTGCAGGATTATGTCCCTTTGTTTCTGGTGGGAAAACAAGATATTGTGAGCATCTCTCCTCAATAAGCTGACAGACAGTGATTTGACTGGAATATTGTTGTTCTGTTTCACCCATTGCTCTGTCGAAATCACTCAAAACCTATGTTTATGTGTTCAAATCCTGGTTGCACCAATTTTCTAGGATTGTCAGTACCGTACCTGTGTGTTGCTATCCTCCTAAGTTTATGCTGACATGCCTTGATATAACTAGGGGCAGTGGGTTAGCTCAGCGGTTAAAGCGTTCACTCATCACGCTGAATACCTGGGTTTGATTCCCCACATGGGCTCAATGTGTGAAGCCCATTTCTGGTGTTTCCCCGTCGTGATTTTGCTGGAATATTGCTAAAAGCGGTTAAAAACCCAACTCACTCAATCACTTGATACAACTGGAATACTGCAGCCTTAATCCATACTCACTCACTCACTCACTGTAATAGTCTCTCAAATGAAAGAACTGAGATATCAGCTAAATGAGGCTTTCATTTTGACATGTGGTTATTTGACTGCAACTCCTATAGGAAGTACATAATGAAATCTAATCTGTCCTTTCCTATTACAGAGGATGAAGACTTTGGTATCCTACTCTCTGCTTTAGAAAGTAAGTCAGTACCTCAGAAGTCAGCACGACACAACTTACTTTATCATATATACTTCGTATGTTGATTAAGTAAATATGCACATGCACAATATGCGGAAATGCTTAATGAACGATGCTCAGTTCATTTTAGTTGAGGATGTGTGTGTATTTCTATCGCTAAATGTGGATGCATAACCATGTGGTCTACATGGATGTGCTGAGCGTGTCCCATCCTTGTCTTGAACTCATCTGGGACTCTCAAGTATCCAAACTATGCATAAAATTCCCCTTAAGAGCCTTAAATTCCTTGAAGACTCACACAAATTGAAAAAGAATATGACGTCTAAACACCCACACTTGCTAACCTTTCAACTGTCAACTCAATTTACAATATTCGGCTGACCACTCTGCCATTGTGGCAAGATCGGAAGCTTTGCAGTAACATACCATTAGTCTAATTAACTAGAAACTCGTACACCTTATAACAATGGTGCAAGCTGATTACTGTATACACATCAGCTACAAGTTACTAGTTTTGAACTATTCTAATGTTACTGTTTTTAACACTATGAATTGAAAAATGGGTAAAGCAGATTTAGGCTGTGTTAGTGAATCTGTTTTCCAAGTAACAACGGTAAAAGTGAGATGATTGGCTCGCCTCAGTTGCTGACGTCGATACTACCTACCTATTTTATTGTTTGTTATAATATGACTATTGATGCTGTAGTTGAAACATAGAGATGATTAGATTAGATGTAGTAATCCTATAAACATTTCAAATAATCAAGCTGTGTGGGAATCAAGAAAGTGTGAACTTGAGAAAATGATCATGTACGAGTTGGGGTGGATATATGCGCTATATAAATATCCTACAATGATAAAATGCAACAGCAGCTTTATTTACCGTGTGTGAACAAGGATCATGTGTTGTGAATGGATTTTTGTCAAGTGAAAAAAGTGAATTTCTATTCCCGTTTGCAGAATATGAGGCGGCAGTATCTACAAAATCCTCGTCCTTACCTGACCTGATCTGTGTGATTACAGGTGAGTAGGTCCTATAGAAGACTCATGTTTTCGGGCTTTGGTTCACCTGTGTAGCTGATGACATGAAAACAGTGGTCATCATGTGTGTAGAGGCTGCTTGCATTTCAAAGTGTAAATTCTCCAACTAAAGTCACACTACACAGTGGGTATTAGGGGTCTGTTGTAACCTGCTGTTCTAAAGAGTAATCTCAGCCGGGCTGCACAATATCATACAGAGATGCCAACCACATGCAAAATCTGCTCCCCTTTTTCTCTATAAATAACTACTTAAAGAGAATGAAAACCTTTTTCTTTTTACCGTATACAATTTTGTAAATTTAGGCATGACTCCACTTTCATTAGATTCAGGGTTGGCATCTCTGAATATCTTTTTCAAATTTTAATATATTTGATGAAGAGAAAAATAGTGTTAGGACATTCTTTTCAGGCTACTGTAAAGTGATTATCATTATCAGTATCTCACCAAATGTTACGCTGTTTGGTAACTATGGCGATTTGGCGGTCATACAGATATGTTTTAGCATTTTGAATAATTTTACCAGTATACAGAATCTCTGAAGATCAGAACTCTTTACTTTGCACTTCAGAAATAAGTACCTACAAAAGTAGGTTGTCTATCCACAGGCAAAGGTCCTCAGAAAGACTTTTATATGAAGAAGATATCTGAGATGACTTTCTCTCATGTCAAGTTCTGTCTGCCATGGCTAACATCTGAGGACTATCCACTCCTGCTTGGTGAGTAGTATCTGGAGCAGGTGTACAAGCTATAGGTGACATAAATGATCATTGTGAGCAAACAAACAGAGGAAGCTCTGAACATTGTGATGTTTATTTACAAAAACAAAATACTTAACAGCATGGTACAGTATTTACAATAAGCACTATTATATACTGCTGAATAAAGATGCAGCTTCAGCTTGATGTAGTTTTCACCAACTCAGTCAGTCAGATACTGTTAGCATGATCGCTGGAACGAAACAACACTCCATACTAAGTCCACGAGCAATCTGGGTGACTTCGTGGTCATGTGACTCGTCCAGATCAGCTGCTGAAAGATGGTCCTGGTTCTCGTAGTTTTTTCTGATGAAGTTGTAGCACTGCCTGACTTGTCTCCACTTGTGTGTGGCCAGTCGTAGGTACACCTGACGGACACCTTCAGCTACACACTTCCTGTTGAGCAGAAGTAACCCATGTCCAACATGGCCACCATTAGCTGCATCTCTCACGATCTTCTCGGACAGTTCCAGGATGTAGGCATCTGAAATCAGAAATATATTTTAGTACTTTAGTGGGATCTGAAATGAGTACACGTTTTTCAACAGTTTTATGCTTATTGAATGTTTGGATAAAAAGAGAATATTGGGTAATACAGTAAATATGGTTATAAGGACCACTTAGTTGGTATGAATGATTATAGAACAAGATGTATACATACCTATGACCTGGACTTGTTTGAGGAATCTATCCTGCATTTCAATAAGACTGAAAAGTTGGAAGGAGGCAGACACTGGGTCGTCCTTCCATACGGCAGCAGCAGAAGACAAGTTATCCAGGGAGCAGGTCTGATCACAGGTGGTGGAACTGGATGTTGCCATGGTGTCAGAGTTAGAATGGATGGATTTGGGAGGACAAGTTGACAATTCACATCCAAAGCTTGAATGTGACTGGTTTGAACCAGACATTCTGCTTCTATATACTTGTCTGTGTGACACTGAGACATGGAGAAGTCTGTTGGATTAGTGGCAAGCTGAGTTCTCCAATAGATGGGATTAACAAGGATTATCATGGCTAATCAACTGATTGGATTATCATGTGCTAATCACAGTTCTAACTGAGGAAAAACATGTTGCTGATTGGTGGTGGTGAAATAGTTAGTGGTGTTTCTGGGCTGGAACTAGTCATGGCTGTGGCTGGATGTAGGTGGTAGATTGGTGATAGATGGTGTTTCATTGACTGTAAAGTGGTGGTGAAATAGTTAGTCACAAAATAAGTGGTGTTTCATTTGTAAAGTGGTGGTGAAATTTAGTGAGTTTCATTGACTGTATGGCAAATAGCTAGTGGTGTTTCATTGGCTGTAAAGTGGTGGTGAAATAGCCATGATGTTTCATTGGCACAGGAAAAGTTAGTGTTGACTGATTGTTTGAAATCATTGGCTGTAAAGTGGTGGTGAAATAGTTAGTGGTGTTTCATTGACTGTAAAGTGGTGGTGAAATAGTTAGTGGTGTTTCATTGGCTGTAAAGTGGTGGTGAAATAGCTAGTGGTGTTTCATAGCTAGTATTGGTATAGCTCATTGATATTAGGGTGATCTATAAATAGTTAGAAATTCATTGGCTGTAAGCAGCAGGGAATATACAACTGGATTATTGCAGGTAATAAATACAGACAGGTCAAATTTGACTACATGTGCTGTTTTTACTGACCATGAATGAACATATTCTTATGTTAGCCTACACTAATTGTAAAATGTCAAGTGATAAAGTATACTGTTGCAGGATGTTTGGATAATGAACATCATGTATTGAAATGTTTCTTTACAAATCACACTGGCACAAACAATACTACTTTGGTACTTTTCCCTCACAGCTGTTCAACTCTCATGGCTAACACATTGTTTGCTTTGTCTGATTGTTGACAGTAGTATTGATTACACAGGTGACAGACTAATAACCTGTGTTATTGGCTTGAGATTGGGTGAGATGTTGTTAAACTAATCAGCATTAGTTACACAGGTGACAGAGCTTATCTGTTTGATTGGTATTTTAGAAGAGCTGACAGAGCTTAACTATATTGTGTTATTGGCTTGAGATTGGGTGAGATGTTGTTAAACTAATCAGCATTAGTTACACAGGTGACAGAGCTTAACTAAATTGTGTTAATAGTTTGAGATTGGGTGAGATGTTTTTAACTAATCAGCATTAGTTACACAGGTGACAGAGCTTAACTAAATTGTGTTAATAGTTTGAGATTGTGTGAGATGTTCTTTAACTATTCAGTATTAGTTACACAGGTGACAGAGCTTAACTAAATTGTGTTAATAGTTTGAGATTGGGTGAGATGTTGTTAAACTAATCAGAAGAAGTTGGGTTGCATTAAACAGACTTTATGATGACAAATATATATGTACACTTCGAATATTCTCTCTTTTTATCAACTTCATTTTTTAACCTTTTATATGTTTATCATTATTCACTAAATAAATATGTTTTTAAACATGGGTTGGGTGTAAAACCAAAAAAATAACAAACACCATTTATTACACTACATATATATTAAATTCCAAATCTCTATTACTCTGTACCTATTTCATATTTTTTACCTTTTTAATTCGGCCTCCCATTCAAATTTCCCTTAATACTCTGTTGTTGTATTTTTGTTGTTTTTGTTTTGTTGTGGGTGCGATGTTAAATAAAGCAAACAACAACAACAACAGAAGATCAGCATGATCAGTGCATATGACTTCATCATGAATGTTTGCTGGGAGGGTTTTGTGTATCTGGATGCAATTAGCACAGGTTAAGTTATCTAAATTAGTCAGTTCTTCACTCAGGAACTAGCCCTCTAGCCCTTTATTTATCAATCCATTGAATTATCATTCTGGAGAGAAACCTGTTAATGGATTATTTGAAGTTTGCTCAGAAAAATCAAATTGAGCTATAAAAACTCATGGCTCTGCAGGTGCCTCTTGTATGTAACAAGGGTTGAGTCTGCTACCGAAGGAGACAGAAGTGTGTATAAATACGTCAATAGTGTGCAGGTTTCTCCTTTCTCCCACAGGCTCAGCTGACATAGGCGTGTGTCTTCACAAGTCCTCCAGTGGGCTGGATCTACCAATGAAAGTAGTGGACATGTTTGGATGTGGCCTTCCAGTTTGTGCAGTGGATTTTAAATGGTCAGTGAATACACACAACTGATTGGTTGTGTAGATTTGGTCCAAAGTAACCTGTGCTTGTCATGAGTCAACTTAAGGGATCTCACTCACTCACTAATGAGTAAGTTAATTGCATTCATTTCCAAACTCAGCACTGGCAAACATGAAACAACTTCAATAAATAACATTCTTATGTTTCAAATGACATTCTAGTGTTTCAAATGACCTTCTAGGGTTTCAAATGATGGTTAGCATAGGACCCAGGAATCTATTGATTGGCATTCCTGGTTAGTAAGGGACCCCAGAAACCTACTTATGGGCATTCCTGGTTAGAAAAGACTTCGAGCAGCCTATGCGTGTCCTGATGGGTGTTCTGGGTTAGAATAAGCCCCCAGCAACCAATGTTCGTCGTCCAAGGTGACGTGATGGACCCAATGGTATTGCTGAAATATTGTGTAAACAGGAATCCAGCCTGACCTTCTTCCTGATGAAATATAACTCTTCATAAACTCATGGCATGACTTGATATTTTAAACAATTTGTTTAATGTGGCACTGTCATGTGGTTTTGTGTTGCCAGTCTGCCAGAGTTGGTCAAGCATGGAGAGAATGGTCTGGTGTTCCAAGACAGTCAGCAGTTGTCAGTCCAATTACAGGTAACTATACTTCATTATAATGTGAATATATTACAGCAGATTAATATTTCAAACTTGAAAGGAATACAGTTCAAAAGCTGGATTGTCCTGATTATAAAGCTAGTTATCATCATGTTTTTAGCTTATTGAAAAAATAAAGTTTGGCTGCATATTTTGACAGAAAACTTTTGCAAGACAAACAATAACTAAGTGTATTCTGAAATAACGATGCATGGGTAGAGTTCAACATTGGCAACTGTCAGTCACATTCTCTGTTCACCATTCCATTGTTGTCACCTGTTGGCTGTAGAACAGAATACCCCTTAACTAAACTGTAGATACAAGTGAGTGTGCAAATCATTATAAGAGATCAGTTATTTGTCCCATTAAGATCTTTCTTCATATCTCACATGTGTAAAAGAACAGTCATTCTCACTATAAACCTGCTTCTTCAGTGTTCAAGCATGGTGTCAAGAATAGAATTACAGGTATCAAATGTTTGAAAACTAAAACATCAATGCTTGTCTTCACAGGATCTCCTGAAGGGATTTCCAGACAACCAGTCAGAATTGAAGAAACTGCGAAACAATGTGAAGTCGTTTCAGTCAGTGAGATGGCACGACCAGTGGGCCCGACTTGCTCTCCCATTGTTTCAGGACAAAGTGAAGACAGACTGATGGTCAACATTTACCCTTGTTTTAATCATGTTATATAAAACATATTGTTACCAAAAGGTGTTCCTTATTTTTCAAAGTAGAGAGCATTTCTCTAAATCTCTAATATATACACATGGAAAAAAGTATTGCAACACCCTTATTTTTCATAGTAGCAATATTTTACCTTAACTTAGCCCAGGAACTTATCCTTTTTTAACTTGCTATCTGGATCATCTGATTGTCAAAGAGTAAATAAATGGCAATGAAACTGCTTTAAGAATGAAAAAACTAGTTATTCGTGAACGCTGCAAAACATTGACACATTTTGTAGCACTGGTAACTATGGTTGTATAGTGTTAATAAGTGCGTTCATTTTCAAGTTTCTGGCACACAATCCTGCAGAAATCCCATAAGTATCAATAACCGAGAACAATGTATGTTGTAACCTCTGCCCAATGCAATAACGTCATTGACTCTCCTCGGTGTTAAAGATTCAAACCTCTGCATTGACTGTGTTCAGACATTAAATAATATTATCATTGTGATATTGCATTTCATTCTTGATGGAGTTCCAATACATCAGTCTTTTGTACTGGAAAATCTCTTTGGCATATTCTGCAACCCATAATGCTCTATGGGAGTTTTATAGGTTCGCTGCTGCCTCTTAACGTAGAACTCACCAATGACATGTGCACAATTTGGCTTAGCATTGTCGTCCACTAGGACTGGCTTTGTGTTCAGAGGATGGTCATGGAAATGTGGAACAACAACCCAGTGTAGGATGTCAGTGATGTGCTGTTTTCCATTCAAATTTTGTCTGATCTTCAAATAAAACAGATTATGTCGTGCTAATCTTGGCCATGTTTCTCCTCAACTCTTTATTTTCACTTCAAAATTCATATGGTATGGAAACCCTGACACATGTTTTGCACCAGTTTATTAAAGTTGTTCAGTCTGAGAAAATACGGGTGTTGCTGAATATATTTCAACATGTATATGTACAGAATGAAATTATGCTGCACCTGTTAATCCTGAAATGTCTTGATTCAATTTCAAGCTCCAAGTACTTGAAACTAATAAATTTGGTACAGCCCAGGTTTATCAATAATGGTTGGCAATATAATGTGTGGTGTTACAAACCAACAACAACACATTGGCTGTTAAACAGTTTATTAAAGATACATAAATAATGTGTTATGATGCTATGACATCACCGGGTATTAACAATGTTTATAACAAGCACTAGATTTCAGTCCGTGAAAACAGACTCATCAACATACGTTAAAGAGTATTTTGTCCAGCTGGCTTGGTCATTGAAACTCACAAGATTCCACCCATGAGTTTCAAAGAATATTTACAACGAGCACCAGATGCCCATCGGTGAAGGCGTATATCTTCAACATCGAGTCATCCCATGAGTATTTTACATACTGCTAGCATGATCGCTGGAATGCACAACACTCCAAGCGTGGTTCAGTATTTACTATTATATACTGCTGAATAAAGATGCAGCTTCAGCTTGATGTAGTTTTCACCAACTCAGTCAGTCAGATACTGTTAGCATGATCGCTGGAACGCACAACACTCCATACTAAGTCCACGAGCAATCTGGGTGACTTCGTGGTCATGTGACTCGTCCAGATCAGCTGCTGAAAGATGGTCCTGGTTCTCGAAGTTTTGTCTGATGAAGTTGTAGCACTGCCTGACTTGTTTCCACTTGTGTGTGGCCAGCCGTAGGTACACCTGACGGACACCTTCAGCTACACACTTCCTGTTGAGCAGAAGTAACCCATGTCCAACATGGCCGCCATTGGCTGCATGTCTCACGATCTTCTCGGACAGTTCCAGGATGTAGGCATCTGAAATACAACAGAGATTTATTAGTACTTGGTGTATAAGTGAAGACGGCGATTTGTCTAACAGACCAATCAGTTAGCCATATAGCCTGTACCCATGCATCATTTCTGTATATATCTTATGCTATTATCATGGTTTGTTACACAATTTTGACCTATTTAACCAAAGAATTCGATTTTAGAGAGTTACTTGAGATTATTATAGGAACATACCTATGGCCTGGACTTGTTCTAGGAATCTATCCTGCATTTCGATAAGGCTGAAAAGTTGAAAAGAGGCAGACACTGGGTCGTCCTTCCATGAGGGAGCAGACGACAGTTTAGTGCTAGATGGTGAACAGATCTGGCCAGGAGAGATGGAAGTTGCCATGGTTTCAAATTTGTTTCGGCTATAATTTCAACAGACACAGGTGACTTTGTGACTCGCAGCTTGCTTGAGTTGAGATAATGAACGGCACACATGAGATATTCTGCTTCTTTATACCTGCCTGTGTGACACTGAGGCATGGAGTAGTCTGTCAGAGTAGTGGCAAGTTCTCCCATAAATGAGATTGGCAAGGATTATCTTGGTTAATCCTGCCTCTTTGACCTAATCTCATCGTCCCCTCTCACTGAGAGTGCCGGACCGGAAACTGTTGGATTGGCAGGTGGATTATGGAGGTGTATAACATGTTGTTACAGCAATGCAATAATGTACGATGAGATGTGTTTGATTGGAAATGGTTAACGTTACGTTATTAATCATCCTACATAATTAAGTTTGCGGTAGCGTTGTAATCTATATACTGGCAGCAAAAACAAGATGATTGTTTGTTTTGTTGGTAAGTATAACAGTGAATATATTGTTGATATTGCCCCCTCCACAAGTGTCAAATCAGTTCTCTTTTTATCAACTACATTTTTTAACCTTTTATATGTTTATCATTATTCACCTAATAAATATGTTTTTGAACATGGGTTGGTTCACAAAACCAAAAACAATAACAATAACCATTTATTACACTACATCTATATTAAATTCCAAATCTCTATTACTCTTTACCTATTTCATACTTTTTACCTATATAATTCGACCTCCCATTAAAATTTCCCTTAAAACTCAGTGGAATAAATTGGGATAAATGGTCCAATAAGAATATGGACCATTCAAAGGTTAATTAATATTGTGAAATTTGTTCTAAGAAAGTTCAGAAACTTTCTGCCATATATAGTGGTATATTATTGATGAATTCTGCACTGATATGAAGCAATTGAAATTGTGCTAACCTCGGGACCAAGATAGCAAGTGATCAAGACACTAATTGTAGGGAGTTTCGCTGTCCCGAACCATATAGGCGGAAGATTAAACATATAAAACACACACACACACACACACACATATTTACACTGATCTATTGCTTTCATCATCTTATCATTTATGAACAAAACTTGCTATTCTACCGTGACCAGAAAATTGTAATACTCGTTATTCATTTCATTATACACATATCCTTGTATCTGTTGAGATTTATGTATCAACCATACTTCTGATTTTGCACTGATGTGATTTTCACAGGTAAAGAAAAGTTTCTCAGAAATGAACTAAGAGTGTCTTCCTAATGTTTAATGTGTTAACAAACGTGACACATCGTGGCATACAGACAAAAAGCTCAAACAGCATTAGCAAACATCAGTTGTATAGAGCAACCCCCAAAATGAAAATGTCAGTCATGGAGCACTCGGCCATTCAATATCTTCTGTACCCTCCTCGCGCGTCCAAGTCACAATTATTACAAAGAAAAGGTTTAAAAGGGTCACTTCTAAATTTTGTATCAGCCTCTCTAACAGACAGAGACTTTGAGGTCTCCATAGACCATCAAATCTAAAAAACCATACACTAGAAAATGACACACCCCAGGGAAGTATCATCTCACCCACCCTCTTCAATTTTATGGCTGATGATATATTCAACAACCTCAGTAAAAACATAAACAAATCCCAGTTTGCCGACGATGGAGCAATATGGGTTAATGAAAAAAATATACACAAAGCATAAAAACAAATTCAAGCTGCACTTAACCATATTGGAACCTGGACCAACCAATGGGGGTTCCAACTCTCTACCACTAAAACAACAACTGTAGTATTCAAAGCACAACATCGACGAAAACAAAACGTACATCTTTATGTTAACAAACAAAAATTACCGCAATCAGATGCAGTAAAATTTCTAGGTCTAAACCTAGACCAGCACTTAACATGGAACAAACACATTCAATTCATACAAGAAAAATGCAAGTCAGATTTCAACATTATTAGATACCTATCACACAGTAAATGGGGTAGCAACAAACAAACATTACTACTACTATATAAATCACTCATCAAATCTAAATTTCTCTATGGTTGCGAAATATTTCAAGATATGGCACAAACACATTAAAATAAACTTAATTCCATCCAATTCCAAGCACTAAAATGTATAACTAGAGCCATCCCAGGAACATCCCTCCAAGCATTATTGGTAGAATGCGGGGAACTAGACCTCACTCTCGAATGGGAAAGAAGTACAATGAAATATGTAACTCGATCCCTTAACAACTCCATTACAAACAAAACTGAAAACCACTAACATCTCTTAAAAATAAAATCATTATCAATAAAGGCAAATACCCAAAACCTTTTGGACAAAAAATACAAGAAATTAAACAACAACGTGATGTATATACAACAGAATGTAATACAAACACATACTACAAATCTCTTCCTCCAGCATTACTGCCCAAAAACTTGACCAACACAAAACTTACTGAACAGTATATACTTAATAAATTCACAGTGCAAGAATTCATACAACAAAATTACAATCCACAAGATAATCTTCACATTTATACTGACGGATCCAAGGACCAAAATGGCAATACTGGTTTTGGTATCTACATTCCCCCAAAAGCCTTAAACAATCCAATAATCTCCCAGCAAACTCCAGTATCTTCACAGCAGAAATCACAGCCATAGTTCAGGCCTTGCAAACAACATCTGACCAAACAAACACTACCATCTGCATTTTAAAGGATTCCTTAAGCTCCATACAAGCTCTCAAAAATTACTCTACAACAAAAAGACCAGATCTAATAAATAACATATACAGAAGAATACTATACCACCAAAATAAAAATAATCAAATATATTTTATCTGGGTCCCGTCACACATCGGAGTCCATGGCAACAAAATGGGAGACCAAGCTGCCAAACTTGGACTCCACTCAAAAAATAAAATAATAAATACCTTACTCCAAAACAGACCTAACAAATAAAGTTAACAATATAATAATAAATAAATTCAATTATAACTGGCAAATAATAGGAAAACATTATCCACTCTACCAAATTCAACAAACACTAAATACAAAATCTAAACATTATCACCAAACACGCCGAATTGATGTTGCCATAACCATATTAAGATTAGCAAATTGCAATCTTAATCACTATCTACACAAAATCAACCTTCATCCAACTTCCTGAAACAATAAGGTAGTAACACCGCTCTTTCAAAATTTCTATTTTTTGGTCCCCTCATTTCTTAATAAGTGTACTGCCCCGTCGCAGAAATACCTTAATTGTGCGTGCGACGTTAAATAAAGCAAATAACAACAACAACGCATTTCAATCCTCTAGTAGAACTCTGCGGGGTACAGGGAGATCCACTTGTGTTGGGTGACAAGTGTACACACGTCGTCATCCCAGGCATGCGCACTTGGGTTGAGGTCTGGCGAGCATGCTGGCCCCTCCATCCGCTCTACACCCTGCTGCCTAAGGAATTCCGTGACAATCCTGGCCCTATGAGGCCTAGCGTTGTTGTCTTGCAGTATAGAGGGTCAACCATAAAAGCCATGCATAGCTTGCGGGAAGGATACTGCTATAGGAGTCAGAATCTCGTCCCAATAACGCTGTCCAGTAAGATTACCGTCGACCACGTGCAGTGGAGCACGTCCAGTAGGTGTTATTTATGCCCAAACCATGACAGACTCCCCGCAAAATCGGTTATGCGGGCCACAGTTGAATCTGTGATTCGCTCTCCATTGCGACGATAAATCCACTACCGACCATCATGGAAGGACAAATTGAATCCGCTTTCACCTGTGAAGAGCACACGCGGCCATGGATGTTGATTCCAGCGGCCATGATGTCTACTACATCTCAAACGCGCCTACCTGTGATGTGGTGTTAGTGGTCGACGAACTGCAGGTCGCCTACAGCGGAGTCCGGCTGTCCTTAAACGTAGATGAACGGTGCTCCTGGATATCCTTACATTGTTAACATTGAAGTGTTCTGTCTGAATATCTGCTGCGTAAAGGAATCTGTTACGTAACGCTGTGTTTATCATGTGCCTATTATCTCGGTCTGCTGTGACTCTGGGGCGACTTGGTCGACGTGCACATTCCACGGACCCATTTGCATGCAATCTCTGCTACAGCCTACCCATAGCACCCTGACTCACATTAAAGCGGACAGAAACCTGCCGCTGAGTTTGACCAGATTCCAAAAGGTCCATTGCTTGACCCCTTTCAGCAAGTGTCAAAAAACGTCTCATTTTAAGCTGCGATTTGAAACAGGTACCTGATCAGTGAAAAACTGAAAAAGCATCAGTGACGTGCATTGTCCTCCACTTTCCATGCACAGGCAAATCATTGACATTAAGTGGCAGGTGGATTTCCATATTGGCAATTTGAATAAAAAATGTGCCATTTGTAACAAAATGTTTCGGACGTTAACGAACTGATGTGTTTTTCTATACCGTTAAGAAAGTTTGTAAAACCTTCAGTCGTGTATATTTCTAACAAAAACGAAGATTTTACAGCTTTTAAGAAATAGTGTTACCAATAGCTTGACCCTTCATTAATGACGCCGAGTATGTTATGATGCGACGTTTTGTGTTCACTCTTGACTGACAACGGTATAAGAATCTATACCAAAACGTCGCATCATAATATAATAAAGAAGTTGTTATCCATAAAGTATCTTTCTTGTTATTCATCAACTTCTAAAATGCCAATCAAACGAGAACGCATTAATGCATGAATATACTCACCATTGGTGTGGCAAACCAACAATATGCTCGCATACTGATTACATTAATCAATACTAGCTTGGTTTGTTAATATAGTAAGCAAAACCAAGAATGACAACTTCTCTGTTTACAGACTGGATGTTTTGGTGCAACTGCTTCTTAAAGGGGCACTGATCCAGAGCAATTTCCGTGGACTGGTTGTTGCTTTTGTTATTGTTTTTCTCCCGTGAGTACCCGGATGATATCCCAGAATTCATGACTGGTTCGTTACCTCTGCTGCGCCACCCTCATGCGCAATTGATAGTATGAGTATAGACTGATCAACAAAGATGAAATCTTTTTTACTCGATAATATTT